TCCCTTCCACAGTTCCCTTCTGCACCCCCATCTACAGCTCTCCCCAATCTACAGCTCTCACCTCTTCAACTCCCATCTTTCACCTCTATACCCCGAGCCAAATCTGCACAACACCCCATCTCCCCACAGCTGCTTTTCTGCACCACAACCTCCCTCCCCCTTTCCATCCAAAGCGCTCACCTTTCCAAAATAGACCCCCACCACAGCTCCAACTCTGTACAAACCCCCCCTCCATAGTTCTTACCTCTGCAAAGTCCCCCGCACATCTCTCACCTCGGCACAACACCATAACCTCCACACAGTTGTATCTCTGCACAACCACCCCCCTTTCCATTCACAGCAATCCACCCTTCATCCAGCTGCCACCCTCTTCACTACACCCCCAACCTCCCCACAGCTGCCTCTCTCCATAATTGACCCCCCTCCCCCCTCACACACTTTTTCACCTCTTTATTTATTTAAGGTACTTATATAGCGCCGTCAACTTACGCAGCGCTTTACATATATATCATACATTCACATCAGTCCCTAACCCTCAAGGGGCGTACAATCTAAGGCTTCAGAGCGCTGCAGACAACAGTTCAGTTCCAGCTATCAGATGTGTAGCACAGAGCTGAGGAAGAGTTTCAGAGTTCCCAGCTCTGTGCTACATGTCTGATGGGCAGAAATAGAAGCTTCCCATAAAGGAAAGCTGTAGTGAGGACAACGAAGCACATCAGTAGTGCTGAAAGAATGCATCATAAGAGAAGCCGATTGGCTGTCCTGCCTATCATGTTGGCTGACATCTTTGCATAAGGTGCCCACGATGTTCACAATGTCCAGATGCTGCTGGTTGAAAGTAAAGCAATTACTTTCAGTCTCTGCAGCCCAGCCTTACAGTGGACTCTTAGAATTACCATTGAGGCAAATGAGGACAAAAAAGGGAATGGGATGTTGTGTGAACAATGACTCTTTATAGTTTTGTACTGGTCCTGTGGGCAGTAGGCAGGGCACTACCACTTGTCCATACAAGTGGCATTGCTGCCAGGAAACAGTGTTTATACTGGTGTTTCTGTATTAGAGAGATTCTGTTCCAGTAAAAGGATAACAAAAAGGTGAAAACAGGAAGTGAGGGGGTATTTCCACTCTATTCAAAATAATTGTGTCATTGTGTCCAGAGCTGGGCTTGAAGATTTCAGATTAACAAATCACACTTCATATTGGGGATAAGCTACTTGTCTGGAGAGTTGACCTTTATCTAACAAAGAAAAATCAGAGTGCTGAAACTCTCAGCATAGAGTAAAACTACATACACAAGGCTGGCTGCTGTCACAGTGTGTGCGAACAGTAGTGGTACAAATAAATGGTCAGTGCTGCTGTTGCTCACATGCAACTGCTCAAGGCTAAAAATCAACAAGTTTGTATGTTTCCATAGCACAGAGTGCACTGATGTCCAGATAGGGCATTTAGTCGAGTCTGAATGCAGCAATCCATTTTCCCCCCTCCGCCGCCTGTGTCAATGTGTAGCCATAGTGAGCTATTTATTTTCAAAAACAGACAAGCAATTAATATACAGTACATATAAGTGGTATACATTTATTTAAGTAATTTTCTTATTAAAAGGCAAAGGGCAATAAAATACAGTCTTCAAAAAAACAGGTGCAGAAAAAAGTACACATTAAATAGAAAAAAAGACAAACAGATTAAAACTTTAACAAGGAATGTGGACACATCCAGAAATGCTTAACTTGCATACTGTACAGCAGAGGAAGTCAATCAATTTTGTAGGTTAGCATTTGCATGCCACAGGTACACTTGCCTCTTTAATGTGATATGACAAGCAGTAACACTGTAATAATGGATAGGTTTACCTTTGGAACATGTTATGAGTTACAAGGTACCATTCATATCTGTGCGACTTCAAAGTAGTTCCTGCACTACTTTAGTCTGACTTTCATGTGACTTGAGTGCCATAGACGTCAATGTAAACCCTCCAAAGTTCCATGAACGTCGCACCTGAATGTTGTATATGCGACCTTTGTGCGACTTTGTACAGCACAAACAATCATCCTTGTTCTAAGCCAAAGTCGCACTTGTCCAAAGTCGCATCAAGTTGCACTGTAAAGTCGCAATGAAAATTTTAAAGTTGCAAAAGTGTGAATGGACCCTTAAGGTTACGTGTAAAAGAGGTTTCTAATAAAGATAGCCATACACTGATTGAAAATTCGAGCGGTCTATCAGGGACTTCAGTTAGTGTGCAATTTCCTTGCTTGACTGAAGTCGACTGTTTAATTGACTTCTGTCGAAGTGACACATTGGAAATTTGTTTGGTGATCATTGGCTGCAACCACTGATCAGCATATATTGGGATGAATGGACTTTCCTGAATGAAAAACCACATTCACTGTTAGAAATTTGATTGTTAAAAGAAATGTTGTCCATCATGCTCCTTCAAATGTTCCTGTCACTGAGATCAAAAGTGAATGCCAATCTGACCCAAATACCGATTAGAAAATTGAACAACATTCTTAAAATGGACATTTTCAAACAAAATTCTACTAGTGTATGGCCACAGAGAGTAACCTATCTATCACAGCAGTAGCAGAAAAACAGACCCATAGTCATCAATGCAGCTCCTTGCTGTGTTGTCATCCTGATATTGCCAACAAATATCTGCTCACTGCCCACCTTCGCCTTCCTCACCAGTATGGCAGTGTGTGGCAGGCATGTTGTAGAAATGATCCGTGCACATTGTGTGGATGAACAGAAGGGCACAACACTACTTAACCAGCACAGGCACATTGACTGAACATTGAAAACAATTAGGGAAAGGGGTGGTCAAAAATGGTCAGCAACAATAAAACTGTTCTACTGCCTCGCTCAGGCATGGTTCCCCACAGCTCACAAGGCAGCAGAGCGGTGGACTTGATCATTTCCTTCTCTTCCCTCCTTCCAACTCTGTTTAGCCAAGATGTGGATTGAAGAGTAGCAGAATGGTGCTAGGCAGGGAGAGGCAGCATAAATGTTGCTAGCACCTGAACCTTCCCTTAACAAAAGTGACAGCTGCCCCATTCTGCTCTGAATCAGGATGAGATCTTATTCATGGATCCCTTGTTGAACAGAGCGGAGCTCCTCCAAGTGTCAGGACCCCTAAGGCTGCAGTGTAGGGTCATACAACAATCAGTACTAGGAAGTGGATTCTCACCCTCAGGGATATCACATTACTTGCTAGTTTTGAGTGAGAATCTGTAAGCAGCAAGTGTTAGGCTTGTGGCTTGGTGTGTGTTCTACTTCATTTTGTGTATCTTGGCTATGTTTGTTGCCCTAAAATTAGAATTAAGAATAAAGAAAAAGGAAATTAGTTTCGAGCTCCTATTTTTAGGAGTGGATTAAAGAAAAAAATAAAGACAATTCTCCTCTAATGTCTTTATCATTCTGATTAGCAATAACTGAATATGAAACTGTGAGGAGAGGCAGCAAGGTCAGAGCCTAATTTGTTATCAAATTAACTGTCAAATTTAACAGCAGAGGCACTGAAGTTGCAGCTTGTTTCCTTACTGCTCTTTCATGAGCAAGTGTCTCTGTTGTGAATTTTAAGTATGAACTGCTCCAAAGTGCCTGCGGGTACAGAGGTCAGTGAGGGTTTATTTCCTAAGTTCATTGATTGCTTGTTAAAAATATGTAAATATTTTAAAGGTCTATAACCTTGAAAAAGCTTTTCTTTAAATGCTCAACAGTGAAAAGAACATTTGCGTAATGGCAAAAGTCCCAAAAATTCTAGACCTGCGTATCAATTTTTTTAGTAGCATTTGTCTATAAAATATTCAACTTTTTCATGAAGTCTTACATTTCCTAATACTATCTTTTAATGACCTTGTGCACTCAGGGCTGACAGCATCCTGTGTTTTGGTGCTTAATCAAGCAGGTGAAGGAAAGTACACTTTTTCTTACTTTTTTATGTGCTGTCCCATCCATTTTCTTTTTTAAGCTTCCTCTTACCTCTGATCACTTATAACTGATTTATGAGAGGTGCTGTAGGGAGCATGAATTTGGAAAAACTGGAAGAAGCAGTAAAAAGCAGTAATAAGCAGTAATTGCTAGCAGTCTCATGTAACTTTTCACCAGTCTATGGCTGTCTCCTGAAGCATGTTTCCAGTCTCTGATTATCTACTAAAGCATGTCTCCAGTCTCTGACCAACTCCTGGGACAGGTCTGCAGCTTTCTGCTGCATCACATTTACTAAACAATATCTGCAGCCCTTTGATGATGTCAAGGCTGTAATTGAGATGGCCTGTTTTAAATAAGTTGATCATCACTGCAATGTGCATCAATAACCTTTCTTATACATACATAGGGGCATTTTTTAGCAATGCCAACCAGCTTTTGAACACAAAACTATCCCTGCCATATAAAAACTGTAAAAATATATAAGTGGTTAGTGGTCAGTCAGTGTCAAAAAATAGTTTAAAGCTGGTTGATCTTTTAAAAAACCGCCACTTGTACTGCCAACTTTGTATAGAGAGAGTTTTTCTTAATGATGGGCAACAACATAGTTAGACAGCAGGGAAATTATCAAAACAGTCCAACAATGAGCAAACATAACAATCCGCAAACAATGCAAAGATTTAACCCTTTGAGGACCGTAAGATTTTGGAACGCCAAAAGAATAAATTTTTTTGTTTTTAAAGTTCGTACACTTCAGTTGCTGTAACTAAGCCATTTCATGAAATAATTAGCAAAAAGCTAGATCCATTTGTTGTTTGTTGATAAGAACTAATATTTTGACTCAAACCAAAAAAAAAAAAGGAAAGAGTTTTAAGTTCTTAATCAGATGATACACGCAATTAAAAACATGGGACAAATACATCCCTTGGTCCTCAAAGGGTTAATGGGTCCCTGTAAGTATAGATTTCTTTGAAGAAGCAGGAGCTGAGTAAAACTATTAGCTATAAATTACATGAAATGAAACCTGACTTCCTCTGTTTTAGTGCAACAGCTTTACTGCAATCATATCTTGTACATCAGCAGGCAGAGTCCAGCTCAGCAACAGATGGTGCATTCTCTCCAGGAGTGCCAGGTACACATGCTATAACTCTCCAAGCTCCCCTTCCATGGTCCGAACCAACACATACAGCTCTGCCAGTCCCACTACTGAAGCCACGATCACAGAGGAAAGTATCCGCTGTAAAGAAGATCCAGGGAATATTACTGACAAAGAAATAAAACTATGTAGTTTATGCATGGGCAAACTTGTAATTTGTATTTGCCAATTAAAAGTATATTACCAAAAAGCCTTAAAGTATAACAAAACCCAAAAGCAAAATGTCATATGTTGTAGCTTACCAGGATGTGGTGACTGCATTAGTTTTTTTCTGGCTAAATACATTTTCAGCAAGTACAAAAAAAAACCAAAACTGTTCATCATGGCAGAAATGCAGTGTCCTTGCTCTTCCTGTGAGCAGACTTGGAAGTGCTAATCTCACTATCACTCATAATGAAGATGAACAAAGGAAGAGATTTTTGAAGTTGACTGACATTCTTTACTCCCTCCATAGATAAAGTGAAGGAGTGATTGTAGCCAACCAGGACAGGAAAATGTGCTATTCACAGGATTACCAGGTGAAACCAAAAAGGGGGAAAAAAAACAAAAGAAAACTAGCACATTTACCTCATCCAAGGTCTGCGAAGCTGCAATACATTACATTTTTATTATTCAAGTATAAGGCAAGACTTTTTTTTTTTTTAAATTTGGAGAGAGTGCAGAGGTATTAGAACACCTGTCACTTGTTATTGCTGTCAGTGCCCCCATTAAGGAGATTCACCCTCTTTATTTGTCCTGTTTACCATTTTTATTGAAAGTGAAAGTAAAAGAAAATACCAATATTTGGGTTGTCCCTAGAAAAAAAGTTATAAAAAGGGGAATTCTTCAAATGTGGACACTAGGGGGTTTATTTACTAAAGCTGGAGAGTCCAAAATCAGACTCCCTTCTGCATAGAAACCAATCAGCTTCTAACCTCAGCTTGTTCAATTAAGCTTTGGCAATGAAACCTGGAAGCTGATTGGTTTCTATGCAGAAGTGAGTCTGATTTTGCACTCTCCAGCTTTAGTAAATAAACCCCTAGGTGTCCTGGGGATCCCCAAGGAATTGCCTTAATGTGCAAAGATTTCCTCTATCTTCCGGTTTGGCTATGGGACAGTAAGTGAAGGGAAATCTCAGCAATGGGACAGATGGCGAAAATTAATTTCACAGGGCTTGAATTTACTCTATCCAAAATGAAAAAAAAAAAAAGTTTTGCCTATGATTCTACTTTAAGTTTAGGTACTCTGTAAAAGAAACCTGTATGAGAGAACATGGAGGCTGCCACTAATGATCTTTCCCTGAGAAATGCAGGTTGCCTGGCAGTCAAGTTGACTCAATGGCTTCACTATTTTCTTAGGCACTGACCTAGAACAAATATGCAGGCCAGTAGTTCTGATGGCAATCTGACTTTATTCTCTATGCTTGTTTCAAGCCAGTGGCTCATAGTACTGAAGTCAGGGATAGTCAAGCAACTGGTATTCTTATAAAAGGCTACCAACAGCAGCCCTCATAATTCTCACAGTACTAATTTACTTGAATTTGAATCGAACCATCGCAGTACTATTTAATCACCAATATGAAATAAACATGGGGCTCTGTAACAAGAACAAAAAGCAATGGCTGCCAACATAAATGTGTTTTCCTGCGTTTGAAGTGTGTTAAAGCACACGTCAACAGGTTTCCATTCATGGTATAGTGTAGGTGACAGTTCTTGCCCTGCATTTGACCTACACTTATTTGCGTTGCATGTCTGTTGTCTTTGAATGCAGCAAGTCTAATCAAATTTTGCATCGCAGGCAAAGCAGAACAAACTCAGCATTTAAGGCATTTGAGAGGAGTTACCTTTTTGAAATTCCACTGTAAATTGTTTTATTTGCAATGACAATAAAGCTTATCCTATCTATCTTATCTTATTCAGCATTGGTTTCGAAAAGCACTACATTCTAATTTAAAAGGCAGATTTTAATTTAAAGTGGTTCTAAAGGCTCAAGGTTTTTTACCTTTATGCATTCTATGTAGCATCCCCCCCAGCCCCGCCCTAATACTTACCTAAGCCCCCTCTCAATCCAGCAATGTGCACTGGAGTCTTGGCAATCTGGGACTCCCTCTCCTTATTGGCTGAGACAGAAGCGGTAGCCATTGGCTCCCACTGCTGTCAATCACAGCCAGTGAGTCAATGAGAAGACAGAAGGGAGGGGCCGAGCCACGGCTCTGTGTGTGAATAGATACACAGAGCAGCAGGTGCCCCCAAGCTGCTTGCTGTGAGGGCACCTGACAGGAGGGAGGGGCCAGGAGTGCCAGCGGGGGACCCAAGGAGAACCCGGGCTGCTCTGTACAAAACCACTGCGCACAGCAGGCAAGTATAGACATGTTTATTATTTAAAAAACATATGATAAGCATTTCCATCTGACAGAAGCATTTATTAGCCTGTACAGAGATGTACTGATATGCTGGGAATTCCCAGTGACATACCAACATCCATTCTGTTTTCCAAAACCAAAAGAGCAGAAACACTTCATCATGAGTACACTACACCGTGCAGGTCCCAGTTGGTATTAAATCTTGAAGCACACAGGCAGATCCGCAACCACTTTTTCTTTATAACAGTTCTGCCTGTGTATAGTCAGTGTGTGTGTGTGTGTGTGTGTTCTGGAAAAATGTTTTCTCCACTGCAACACCTTCAATAATGTCAGAAAATGAAACACCATGGGGGACCAAGCAAAAAAAGGAATAAATTAGTAAAGATATGGCAACTAATGATGATTAAGGCAAATTGTACATCAGCTAAACTCCACTCACCGCAGCTGACTCAGCAAAAACATACTGACTGCCGATATAAGTGCAAGCAAATGCTGTTGCCACTGTGACAAAGAAGTTGAAGACTGTAACAATAATTTTTTTCAGAGGTCGTACTGTGAACACAAAAAATGTAAATGAATACAAATGTCAATAATATATAGTCATTAAATAATGTTTCTAAATCATCTACAACATGCAATTAGCCAACACCTAATTATTATACAAGGCAGTGGAGAAAGTAAACCATAAGAGTATCTAAACATGAAAACAAAAATGTAATAGACACTATATTGCCAAAAGTATTGGGACGTCTGCCTTAACACACACATGAACTTTAACCACTTGCCCTCCAGAGGATTTACCCCCCCCCCCCCCCCTTCCTGACCAGGCCATTTTTTGCGATACGGCACTGCATTAATTTGACTGACAACTGCGTGGTCATGCAACGCTGTACATAAATTAAATTTATGTTCTTTTTTTCCCACAAATAGAGCTTTCTTTCAGTGGTATTTGATCACCTGTGCGGTTATTTTTGCGCTATAAACAAAAAAAATCCCAGTACGTGTAAATTAATTGATTTACGTGAAAGTTAAAGCGTCTACAAATGGCAATATATATATACACTGGAATTTTTATTTTTATTATATTAGTATTGGCGGCGATCAGCGACTTCTGGCAGGACTGTGGAGGGCATTTTGACACAGTGTGGGAACTGACCAATTGCCATGACATCCCAATGACACTAATATAGTGATCAGTGCTAATAAAAAGCACTGACACTGTACTAATAACACTGTTCAAAAAGGGGTTAACATCTGGGGTGATCAAAGGGTTAACTGTGTGCTGTTTTACATGATGTGCTGTGTGTGCTTTACTAGTGAGACATGCTGCTGTGTATATCTCATTAGATTACACATATATAATCAGGGGCGGACTGACCATTTGGAAACTCGGGCACTGCCCGGGGTCAGTAGGGTGCCCCATGAGATGCCCTGGTACCTTTTTCATAGGCTTTTTTGAGTTTGGGCAAGGACACAGGGGCCCCATGATCCCCTATTGCCTGGGGGCCCCATGAGTTGTCAGGCCGCCCCTGTATATAATATATATATACACATTAAGAATACACAGCAGCATGTCCTTGCTTGCAGGAGAGAGACCTGTGTTGTTTACACACAGGTCTCTCCCGTCAGTTCCACACAGCGATCGCCGGGTGCCGGTGGGGAATCTCTGGCAGTGAATGACATCTGTAGTCGGTAATGGCAGAGTGGGTAGGGTGGTGGCGGGACGGGGGGGAAAGCAGTTAATGGCATCCCAGTCATAGTACAGAGGGTTCAATATTGAGTTGGCCTACCCTTTGCAGCTATAACAGCTTCAACTCTTCTGGGAAGGCTGTCCACAAGGTTTAGGAGTGTGTTTGTGGGAATATTTGACCATTATTCCATAAGTGCATTTGTGAGGTCAGGCACTGATGTCAGACGGGAAGGCCTGGCTCACAGTCTCTGCTCTAATTCATCCCAAAGGTGTTCTATCGGGTTGAGGTCAGGACTCTGTGCAGGCCAGTCAAGATCCTCCATCCCAAAATCACTCCTCCATGTGTTTATGGACCTAGCTTTGTGCACTGGTGCACAGTCATGTTGGAACAGGAAGGGGCCATCCCCAAACTGTTCCCACACAGTTGGCAACTTCTGCGCACTACGCGCTTCAGCATGTGCTGACCCCGCTCTGTCATTTTATGTGACTTACCATTTCATGGCTTAGTTGCTGTTGTTCCAAATTGCTTCTGCTTTGTTATAATACCACTAACAGTTGACCGAGGAATATGTAGCAGCAAGAAAATGTCACGGATGGACTTATTGCACAGATAGCAACCTATCACGGTACCATGCCTGAATTCACTGAGCTCCTGAGAGCGACCCATTCTTTCACAAATGTTTGTAGAAGCAGTCTGCATGCCTAGGTGCTTGATTTTATACACCTGTGACCATGGAGGTGATTGGAACACCTGAATCCAATGATTTGGAGGGGTGTCCCAATACTTTTTACAATATAGTGTATTCCAGATCATCAGTCCTTACATGTTGTGATGGCATTTGTTTTTCTTTTCCCCCTTTATTTTTACTAGCTGATCCTGCCAATAACACACTTTTGTACTAGGGTGACAATGCTCACTCACACTACTGTATTTATGGAGGTGCATCATCATCCTCCTAGCCTGCTTCTGATTTGGACTCCCCCTCTTCTCATCTCTATAACATGGGGGTTCTGTAGTCCACATATGTCAATAGGTCACGCTTGATAACTGTGCTTGAGATTTTGGGAGCTCACTGGATTTCTGGCAGGCTCAACGAACACTTGATGCACTTATCAAACAGATATAACAAAACACTTTCAACTGTATACTTAACAGACCAAAATGGATCATTGTGGCATTAGTTTTCACACGGAAATTGATGGCCTGACTGTAGGTGAGTAACTTTTATTACTTAACAACAGTTCTCTCTAGCTTCAGTACTTTATAAGTCGCCGCTATAAAATAAGTATGAAGCAAGAAGAGTAAAACCAAATCTTCAATATCTTATTAGCATACGTGACTTGCTGTATAAAGGTCATTGACTCACTAATTATTGAGGTCAGAGAATCATCATGACAACCAGGCAATGGCACATTTATCCTAATACAGGTTTCCTTTAACAAAATATACACTACAAAGTTGTAATCTGGGCACTTATGCAATACTTGAAAACAAAATAGAAGGTGGAATACCGTTTTAAAAACATCTACTGAGTCCTGAAGGCCTGAATGGGAACAAGCTTGTATAGTAGAACAAAACACATTTTAGATGGCTATCAGAACCCAGAGGCCAAAATATTGTTTTAGCATAGCTATATTATAAACAAATAAGTTGGATCTTCAGTTGACTGATGTGAATGCAATTTTTTTGTTATTGGTTTCTTAACATTAATCATTAATATACAACTGACCCTACAGTATGTGAGCAAAAATATGTAGCTAACCAGTGAGCTCAACATTTCTGAAGCACAATCTAGCTGTAGCCAAAGATGCAAACAGGAAGCTATATACTGTAGTTTCTCTATTTTCCAGACAGAGAGATACTGTGTATAATCTGTATTCTCATTTCTAGTCAGAGGGTGCAGCTCAATAGCTGACATTTGCACACACACACACCATCCCCCCTCCTTCTGGTTTACTGCCTACTCTGTTCTGATGGATTTAGGGAGACAAAGTTCAAAAGTAAACATTTTCTGCTGTGCTCCTGGTTTAGTGTACATGTATTTCTAAACATCCCTTAATGCTAACCTAGCCGTTAGTGAGGACTAAAGTAACTCTCCACTGGAATACAAGAAAAAGTAACAGTACTAGCTGAAAATTAGAAATGATACTTCCATCCTAAAGGAGACAACTTACTATCTTTGCCTAGATCAGCCAGAGTTCCCTGACGACCGGCCTGGAAAAAAAAAAGGAAAAAAAAGTTAAAATTACAAATTTATTAAACCTGGAGCAAAATATGGGCTATAGAGGAGCTGTTGCCTTTAGCCACTAATCAGATTTATTGCCCTGGCAAAACAAAATTGGATTTTTTTCTACATACTTACCTGTAAAATTCATTTCTTGGTGTACATCACGGGACACAGAGCAGGCTATTCATGACTATGTGGATTATATGCCACCTACAGATGAATGGACACTGGCCGATCAATCAGAGAGGAAGTCCCCCCCTATATAACCCCCCTCCTACACAGGAAGTACTTCAGTTTTTGTAGCAAGCAATAAAATTCCAGGAGTGGAGGGACCTCTGCGTCCCCTGATGTACACCAGGAAATGGATTTTACAGGTAAGTATGTAGAAAAAAAATCCAATTTCCTTTATCGTACATCACGGAACACAGAGCAGGCTATACATGACTATGTGGGACGTCCTAAAGCAATAAAGAACTTGAGGGGAGTGCGACACCATGATAGCCATTGCCAGTAATCCCTCAATACCTACTCAGCCATTCGTAATACGCTGCGGCCAAAGGCAGAATCCACTACGACTCTTACATCCTCCTTGTAGAACCTTGTGAATGTATGGATTGAAGGCCATGTAGCGGCCTTGCAAACCTGAGCAACTGACGCCTGATGGCAGATAGCTCAAGATGCCCCCACACTCCTGGTACAGTGTGCTTTCACCTGAAAGGATGGGACTTAAAACCATAGGCTTGAATGATTAACTGGTGGATCCAATGAAAAATAGAAGACCTGGATACCGCCTGCCCTTTCTGGGCCCTTCTGGCAGAGCAAACCAGGATTCCTGACCTGTGCCACCAACTCAAGTAAATCCTGACCACTTGAACTACATCCAGAGTATGCAGCACTCTTTCCCCTGCCAACTGTGGACTAGGAAACATATAAAGGCATGACACTATCCTTATATAAAGGGAAAACCAAAAAAATCATTCTAGGCAGGAAGATGGATGAGAACGCAACATCACCCTATCATAATGCCAAGGACGGCTCCTTATATAAAAGGGCTGCCAGCTTTGACACTCTTCCTGCTGAAGTGATAGTAACCAAAGAAGCCATCTTCCAAAACAAAGGATTAGGTTTCTTTAATTGGTTCCAAAGGTGGCCTCTGCAAGGACAGCCAAAGTCACAAGGACACAAAGGCGGCCTGACAGAAGGGACCATCTGTGTTATACCCTGCACGAAGTTCCAATCAAGAAGTGAGAACAACGGTCTCTGGGAAAAAATGGATAGAGCCAAAATCTGACCTTGGTACTCAAGATAAAATTTAATTTCCCTTCCCGACTGGAAAAAGAAAACCTTACAATCACCCACTTCCGTGGGCGCCACTTCCTGGCCTCCCACCGGGAAAATAAGTTTTCCAGGTCCTGTAATGGTGGCGCCCTGACACCGGCTTTCTAGCATGCAAAAATGCAGAGAAAACAGGATCCAAGACCCCCCCAATCTTACCAGAATTGGGCTTAAAAAGCCAAGCCTTCAATCCTAGCAATCATACAGTCAGGTCCATAAATATTGGGACATCGACACAATTTTAAAATTTTTGGATCTATATACCACCACAATGGATTTGAAATGAAACAAACAAGATGTGCTTTAACTGCAGACTGTCAGCTTTAATTTGAGGGTATTTATATCCAAATCAGGTGAACGGTGTAGGAATTACAACAGTTTGCATATGTGCCTCCCATTTGTTAAGGGGCCAAAAGTAATGGGACAGAATAATAATCATAAATCAAACTTTCACTTTTTAATACTTGGTTGCAAATCCTTTGCAGTCAATTACAGCCTGAAGTCTGGAATGCATAGACATCACCAGACGCTGGGTTTCATCCCTGGTGATGCTCTGCCAGGCCTCTACTGCAACTGTCTTCAGTTCCTGCTTGTTCTTGGGGCATTTTCCCTTCAGTTTTGTCTTCAGCAAGTGAAATGCATGCTCAATCGGATTCAGGTCAGGTGATTGACTTGGCCATTGCATAACATTCCACTTCTTTCCCTTAAAAAACTCTTTGGTTGCTTTTGCAGTATGCTTTGGGTCATTGTCCATCTGCACTGTGAAGCGGCGTCCAATGAGTTCTGAAACATTTGGCTGAATATGAGCAGATAATATTGCCCGAAACACTTCAGAATTCATCCTGCTGCTTTTGTCAGCAGTCACATCATCAATAAATACAGGAGAACCAGTTCCATTGGCAGCCATACATGCTTACGCCATGAAACTACCACCACCATGCTTCACTGGTGAGGTGGTATGCTTAGGATCACGAGCAGTTCTTTTCCTTCTCCATACTCTTCTCTTCCCATCACTCTGGTACAAGTTGATCTTGGTCTCATCTGTCCAAAGGATGTTGTTCCAGAACTGTGAATGCTTATTAGATGTCGTTTGGCAAACTCTAATCTGTCCTTCCTGTTTTTGAGGCTCACCAATGGTTTACATCTTGTGGTGAACCATCTGTATTCACTCTGGTGCAGTCTTCTCTTGATTGTTGACTTTAACACACATACACCTACCTCCTGGAGAGTGTTCTTGATCTGGCCAACTGTTGTGAAGGGTGTTTTCTTCACCAGGGAAAGAATTCTTCGGTCATCCACCACAGTTGTTTTCCGTGGTCTTCGGGGTCTTTTGGTGTTGCTGAGCTCACCGGTGCGTTCCTTCTTTTTAAGAATGTTCCAAACAGTTGTTTTGGCCACGCCTAATGTTTTTGCTATCTGTCTGATGGGTTTGTTTTGTTTTTTCAGCCTAATGATGGCTTGCTTCACTGATAGTATCAGCTCTTTGGATCTCATCTTGAAAGTTGACAGCAACAGATTCCAAATCCAAATAGCACACTTTAATCGAACTCTGGACCTTTTATCTGCTCATTGTAATTGGGATAATGAGGGAATAACACACACCTGGCCATAGAACAGCTGAGAAGCCAATTGTCCCATTACTTTTGGTCCCTTAACAAGTGGGAGGCACATATGCAAACTGTTGTAATTCCTACACCGTTCACCTGATTTGGATGTAAATACCCTCAAATTAAAGCTGACAGTCTGCAGTTAAAGAACATCTTGTTCGTTTCATTTCAAATCCATTGTGGTGGTGTATAAAGCAAAAAATGTTAGAATTGTGTCGATGTCCCCCAATATTTATGGACCTGACTGTATACAGGATACAATATTTGACCCAAGACAATAGGTCTGGGTGGACTGGAGTGTCCAAGGAGTGTTCCCTGCCAGAAACACTATATCGGTGTATCAAGCCCTCCTGGGTTAGGCCGGGCCACCATTATTGTTAGTGTTACCTCCTCCCAAACCCTGCACAAAAGGAATGGCAATAGCTGAATCAGGGTAAAGCATAGATTAGGGGGAACTGGTCCCTAAGGTGTTACCAGTGCATCTACCCTTATTGCCAGTGGGACTCTCAACATAGGCAAAACCTGTCTAACCTGTTGTAGAACCCGGAAGTCAGTAGAGCTGCATCCAGAGTTCCCTAACGCTAGCCAATTGCCAAGAACGTCTCGAGATGAAGAGACCATTCTCCCAGTATCAGCTGTTGACCTCTGGGGGAAAAAAATCCTGTCAGTTTCCTATACCTGGAACATGTACTGCTGACAGAGAGCACATGCTGTTCTGTCCCAGACAGAATGTGGTTCACGCTTTCCTGAACTGCATGACTCCTGGTGCTGCACTGGTGGTTGATATATACTCCACTGCCATGGCATTGTCGTATTGAACCCTAACCACAACCTGTGCAGCGGGTTCGTCCAATAATCCAAGGCAAGGCGCACTGCCTAAAGTTCCAAACATTGATGGGCAGTATTCCCTCCTATGGAGACAAAAATTCCCTGAATTGTAGCCGCCTTTAATCAGCCCCCCAACCAGAGACTGGCATCAAATGGTTACTATCTTCCATATTACTGGAAGGAAAATTACCCCTTCTCCAGATATTGAACACAAAAAACACCAATTCGGACTCTGCAATACCCCGGGGACAAAGTCCTCCGGAAATCCAATGCTTGGACCTTCATGATTCAGACAGATAAAATGCTCCTCTACAAAAGACCTGGATTGGAACTGCACAAAGGAAACCACTTCAATGTAGATATAATTTCCTCATGCAGAGATGTAACGAAGGATACCTATTGCTTCTTACATTTCGCTTTAAACTTGAAACTGGCTGCTCCCTGAGCAAAGGAACATTAAGGTATTATGAGATTGACACCACCCTATATCCTCAGCAAGCCCAGCACCAGAGCTAGGAGCTTTGCAAACACTCAGATGGCTGTGGCCAGCCCAAGGGGCAGTGCCCCACAACAATAAGATTACGATTCTCTATTGCATTCACAGAACCCCCGATGAGCCTAAAAAATTGGCACAGGAAGATATGCATCATCAAGAGCTGTGGACACTCGAAATCTATCTCTTGCAGAGAAGCCACCACGGATCGGACCAATTCCATCTGAAAAACAGAAGAACATCTAGACATGTCTAGTGCCTTGAGATCTAAGACAGACCTCACACCCATTTGGTTTAGGGTCTGCGAACCTGTCAAGTATCTCAAATCACCTCAGAGACTGCCCTTGCAGCCTCTGCCCGAGATATACTGCCAAAAATATTGGGATACCTGCCTTTACATGAACTTGAGCTTGAGCTTTAATGGCATCCCAGTCATAGTACGTAGGGTTCAATACCCTTTGCAGCTATAACAGCTTCAACTCTTCTGGGAAGGCTGTCCACAAGGTTTAGGAGTGTGTTTATGGGAATGTTTGACCATTATTCCAGAAGCGCATTTGTGAGGTCAGGCACTAATGTCAGACAGGAAGGCCTGACTCACAGTTCATCCCAAAGGTGTTCTATCGGGTTGAGGCCAGGACTCTGTGCAGGCCAGTCACGTTCCTCCACCTCAAACTCACTCATCCATGTCTTTTTAACCTTCCTTTGGGCACTGGTACACAGTCATCTTGGAACAGGATGGAGCCATCCCCAAATTGTTCCCACAAAGTTGGGAGCATGAAATTGTCCAAAATGTCTTGGTATGCTGACGCCTTAAGAATTCCCTTCACCGGAACTAAGGGGCCAAGCCCAACCCCACACCGTAATTCCCCTTCCAACAAACTTTATACTTGGCACAATGCAGTCAGGCAAGTACCATTTTCCTGGCAACCACCAAACCCAAACACGTCCATCAGATTTCCAGACAGGGAAGCGTGATTCGTCACTCCAGAGAACATGTCTCCACTGCTATAGAGTCCGACGCTTTGCAGTGCACTTGGTGATGTAAGGCTTGGATGCAGCTGTTTAGCCATGAAAAGAGGTTAAAAAAGCTCAAGGTTTTTACCTTCATGCCTTCTATGCATGAAGGTAAAAAGCCTTCTCGGTGCAGCAGCCCCCGCAATACTTACCTAAGCCCCCTCTCAATCCAGCGATGTGCACTGGAACTCCCTCTCTTTATTGGCTGAGACAGCAACGGGAGCCATTGGCTCCCATTGCTGTTAATCACAGCCAGAGAGCCAATGAGAAGAGAGGGGGTTGGGGCCACAGCTCTGTGTGTGAATGGACACACGAAGCAGCAGGTGCCCTCATAACAAGCTGCTTGCTGTGGGGGCACCCGACAGGAGGAAGGGGCCAGTAGCGCCAGGCAGGGTACTGGGTTGATCTGTGCTAAACCACTGCACACAACAGGTAAGTATAGACATGTTTGTTATAAAAAAAAAAAAAAAAAAAAAAAGCCTTTAGAATCACTTTAAAGCATCAAAATGCATGTTGAAGTGCCATTCAGCTCAAGTTTGTAAATGTTAAACACAGATCCTAATGAGAGTGTTGATTGCCACATTAAGCAAGCCGTGGAGCGGGCTTCAGCAGGCTTTCAAGAAATGCTGAAGTCTGCTAGCAGCTTGTTTAAAGTGGCAATCAGAACTCCCATTAGGATATTTGGTTCAACATTTACAAACTGAAGCTGAATGGTGCTTAAAGCTTGAAAACTCTGCAAATGCTTTGTCAAAGCTTGCTGTTCACACTGCTCTTATACAAGCTGAAGCCCCTGTGAAACAAGCCTTACAGGAAAGTTGGGATTTCCATACAATTTCAAATGTCTACATTTGGATCTACAGCTCAAGTGTGGCAAAAGCTGCTTTCACTTTTTTTTATCCTATCTGCTGTCTTGAGACATGCAGACTATGGTACTATATTGGTAGAAAATGATGGGCCTATTTGGATCTGGTCTGTTCAAACGTATTAAAACACAGACTAAAAGATAAAATTACTGTACCTGGCTGGTGACATTCTTTGTGATTCTCTTGTACTCCTCATTTGCCAACTTAGCTTTAATCTTCTCAAGACGTGCCACAAGTTCTGGGTTCTAAACATACAATAATGCAGACATAAAGAAAGGCATTATAAATGTTCCTACCTGCAATTTTTCACCTGCATAAGATGTGCATTGATCATGTAGTTTCACGGTATCATTTGTTGGCCTGTGCACACAGCCTTTAGCAAATCCTCACTTTCTGGTGTCATAAATTTCTGTCTGTGTTTAAATGAACTATGGCAATGCACAGGTTATTGCATGACGTCTGTCTGTAGTCAAAGAACTGACTCTGCCTGTGAAGAAATTAATATCCCACAATCCCTGGGTCTCCCTGCCTAGAATAGGTGCAGGTTCAGTAGATAAATCTGACAGACACAAACATAGAGAACATAGTGGGAAGAGGTGGTTTCATGACATTAGCACTCCCAAAATTGTGTTGCACCACAGAGGAAATATCTGAGCTTAGCTTGGATGCTGTATTACCCAGAACAAGAAGTTGCCTGTCCCTTTATTAAATATTGACAAGCTAGGTGAATGAATACATGTACATAGGAGCATGACACTACAAATTGCAGCCACAACATGTGAGCCCAAAACTTTTGAAAGTGTACAATACCTGTAATGTCACCTTAAGTAAGATGGGAAAATATATTTAATGAATGTTTCAGAAACACTGTACTATTCTATATGACCACCTTACCTCCAAATCAACATAGTACCTATAGCTTAAAATACAAAACAAAAAACTAGCAACTGAGATGCTAAGCATGCAACTATCACCAATGCAAAACAGTGGCTGCTACCTTCTTTTATCTATTGTGTTTGGTATAAACACCAGGAGAAAAAGACATATCTACATCAAGAGTAAAATGTCTTTTGTTGGAGGGACAAATGTGGATGGGGAGGCAAGGAGTAGGGATAAATAGGGTATTGCCCAGGCTGTGTTGTTTGTACTGAGGAGCTGAGAGGACTGGAGGAACAAAGGAGGTCTAAATAGTGCAGTAAACAACTGTATATTGAATTGTGTGATAAGTGATAAAGAGCCAAAGGGAGGGGCATAGATGGAGAGGATAATGCTCTAGATGTGACAATACTGATCTTGAGCAAGAGCCTGTGGCCATCTCTGTCTATCACAGCTTACAGCAGATCTATCCCCGAACTTTCCACTTCTCAATAGGTGATTTAACAGTACTGATTGGCATATTCAAGGCTTTGGACATCTTTTTATGTACTTTTCCATCTTTATAAAGTTCTATTACCTTGTTACGCAGGACTTTTGACTGTTCTTTTCTGATCCCCATGGCACAGTATCTAGCCTAGTCAGTGCTTCTACATAAGAGCTAACAAACTCATTGACTATTCATACACTGACACTAATTGCAATTTAAAAAGAAACAGATGTGGGACATTAACCTCTAATTGGCCTTTTAACCCCCGTGTGTGTCACCTTGTGTGTCTGTACCAAGGCCAAACATTCCAGGGTATGTAAACTTTTGATCATGGCCATTCGGGTGATTTCTGTTATCATTATGATTTAAAAAGGAGCCAAACAACTATTTGATAATAAATGGCTTCATATGATCATCATCCTTCAATAAAAGAGCATTTTTTGGCATGATCAGTCATATTTTCAATATCAATGCCACAATTTCACAATTTCTGCCAGGGAATGCAAACTTTTGAGCACAACTGTACCTGTCCAGGGATCCAGTGATGTCTTTACCCAAGCCAATTCTTCAATCAGCTTCGGGTGCAGGTGCTGGCATCTTAACAGCCAGCATTTCTACTGCGCATGCGCAAAGCATGCTGCACTTTGTGGTTGGACCCACAGTCTTCTGGGACCTGTGTATGTCCCAGAAGGCTGTGGGGGGGGGGGGGGGGGATGGAGCCAAATACTCGCTACCCCCCCCCCCAATAAAATGCTGCAATTACTTTGTACACTGGGAGACAAAATGGGGGCAAATATTCATGAGACATCTTCCTTATTACATGTAACTTGGAAAAAAAAAACAATATTACCCGCTCTGGCAGTTCCACTACAGGCAGATAGATTTCACTACCCTCCAGCAGCTCATGTAAGTAGACAGCTGAGCCTGAAATAGGAAAAAAGTGATCATGAAAACATAAGAAAAGAATGTCTTTACACAAACATAGATCCAGACCATTACCTGTATCTGGTAGAAAAAAAACTATGTTTATTCTAGCAACAAATCACATTACCAGATTCATTTTCAAATGTACATTGGTGGCAAAATGGTAGAAGCTGGCTGGTTGCTAAGGCAAACTATCAGTTTTCCAGTCAGAAGTAGCTATTCTGCCTAAAAAACTCCCAAGATCCCCACAGCAAAGAACAAGGTGAATCGTGGGTAAGTACTTTCATATTAACATAATGAATAAAAGATCAACATTGCGATTCAACAGCCAGAGCTCCTGAGACTGTTACTGTCAGGACACAATGCAATCAAAGCACCATAAGAAGTCACACACTTAGCTGTACGTTTATGTCTGAGTTGCTTTTTTTTTCTCTAGAGGAAACTCCATTTTACAACAGAAGGCAAATCTAAAGAGCATGGACAGGTGACTAAGGTGTTGGTGCAATGAACTGCTTGCAGAGAGCAGTGTTTATAGTATCAGGTTTATATAGAAGACATTGTAAACAGCATCGTTTGCAGGCTTGCTGAATCTTCCGATTGCCCAACGGATCAAATTCAAAATGCTAACACTGACGTACAAAGCTGTCCATAATACTTCCCCAAACTACATCACCGACCTAATATCCAAGTACCACCCAAAACGCACTCTCCGCTCCTCACAAGACCTCTTTCTCTCTAGTTCCCTGGTCTCCTCCTCCCATGCCCGCCTCCAGGACTTCTCTAGGGCATCACCCATCCTCTGGAACTCCCTACCCCAATCCATCAGACTATCACCTACTCTCCTCTTCTTTAGGCGCACCCTGAAAACCCATCTCTTCAGGGAAGCCTACCCCGCCCCCTGCTAATTGCCGATCTCCACTCTTCCTACCGCTCCATACCCCACAGCTTTTCCTCCCATACCACTATCCCCTCCCTCCTAGATTGTAAGCTCCAAGAAGCAGGGCCCTTGAACCCCTCGTGTATCACATTGTATTGTTACTGTACTGTCTCATGTATTGTCTCCCATTGTAATGTACAGCGCTGAGCGAACTATTGGCGCTTTATAAATACTGTATAATAATAATAATAATCTGATTGTCCTGTAATTTATATAGAAGACATTACAAACAGTATCGTTTGCAGGCTTGCTGAATCTGATTGTCCTGTAAGAACGGGCAAGGATAAAATAATATGCGCTTGTACAAAATTAAAAGGCTTGTACACAAATGCCAGCAGTCGGTTTAATAAAATGGAAGAACTAGAACTGCTGACACATGAAGAGTTATGCAGGCCATAGATGGGTCGAAAATCGGCTGATTTTTCGGCCGAAAACAAAATCGGCCGATTTTTGGATCGTTAGTGGGCTAATTGTTTCGGCCGTTTTTCGGTATTTTGGCAGATTTTTTTTATCGGTAAAGTTGGAAAAAGATCAACCAATTTTGCTGATCGGCCGATTTTCGCAGCAATTATGGGCAAATCGGCCGATCTTTTTACCGATAAAAAATCTGCGCATGAGCAGTGACCTGCAAGAGGAAGACAAAAAGAAGGAGAAAAAGAAGAGGATGAAGAAGAAGAAGAGAATGAAGAAGAGGATGAAGAAAGAGAATGAAGAAGAAGAGGAAGAGGATGAAGAAAGAGGAAGAGGATGAAGAAGAAGAAGAGGATGAAGAAGAAGAAGAGGATGAAGAAGAAGAAGAGGATGAAGAAGAAGAAGAGGAGAAGAAGAAGAAGAGGAAGAAGAGATGAAGAAGAAGAAGAGGATGAAGAAGAAGAGGATGAAGAGGAGAAGAGGAAGAGGATGAAGAGGAAGAAAAAGAAGAAGAAGAAGAAGAAGAAGAAGAGGATGAGGAAGAAGAAGAGGATGAAGAAGAGGATGAAGAAGAAGAGGATGAAGAAGAAGAGGATGAAGAAGAAGAGGATGATGAAGAATAGGATGATGAAGAATAGGATGAAGAAGAAGAGGAAGAAAGAAGAAGAGATGAAGAGGAAGAAGAAGATGAGAAGAGGATGAAGAAGAAGAAGAGGATGAAGAAGAAGAGGATGAAGAAGAAGAGGATGAAGAAGAAGAGGATGAAGAAGAAGAGGATGAAGAAGAAGAGGATGAAGAAGAAGAAGAAGAAGGAAGAAGAAGAAGATGAAGAAGAAGAAGAAGAAGAAGAGGATGATGAAGAAGAAGAAGAGGATGATGAAGAATGGGATGATGAAGAAGAAGAAGAAGGAAGAAGAAGAAGAGGAAGAAGAGGAAGAAGAAGAAGAGAAGAAGAAGAAGAAGAGGAAGAAGATGAAGAGGATGAAGAAGAAGAGGATGAAGAAGAATTCCAGTCCGGCAAAAAGTGTCCCTGCAGAGAGCTCGCTATTTCTTTGACAGTGCTTTGACATTTAGAGCGGTTTCAACAATGTATCTATTTGTTTCCGAATAAAAAACATCTGTATCCGAAATGGATACAAATAGATACATTATTGCAGCCGCTATAAATGTCAAAGAAATAGCAGAGCTCTCTGCAGGGACACTTTTTGCAGGCTGTAGACGGAATGAAAATCGGCAGATTTTTTTTACCATTCCTGGTAACGTCGGCCGCTTGAACGATCAATTTTTCGTTTTTTTAAAGAAAAATCGGCCGGTTTTCTCCCCATCTATGGCCTGCATTAGACTTTGTGGGAATATCAGACACCTGGTTTCACAGCTCACAGGACTGGCTTGTGACTGTCCAGGGGTGCTCCTTGTATCAGAAAGACAAGGTGGGTAGAAGAGGGGGAGGGGTGTGCTTGTGTGTGAGGAGTGAATGAGGGATGCCTTTTCTATTGGGGCTAGAGATGAGGTGGAGTCTTTGTGGGACAGATGGTAAACTACTACGGTAGCTCAGGCTCTCGGCAGGTCGCCAACAGGCTGAGCCAGGTGCCGGTCCAGGCTTCTGGGTGGATCCCAACCATATGTCCATGAACTTTTCAGAGCCTGGATTGGCTCTGTGAGGTTAGTTGACAGGGCTTCAGTCCTCTGTTGGCTGAAAACAGGTCAGAGTGCAGGACAAACTGCATCCCTGTGATCTCCAGCAGAAGCATAGCTGAAAGAGCTTTGCTATACTTCTTTACCGCATCCCGACCGCCCTATAGCAGAAGTACTTCTACAGGGTGGCAGGGATTTGCAAAATCATGTATATATATGTGATTTTGTATTTCCGCGTATGGGGCAGTACGCTCTCTACCCACGCCGCTATTGGCTCCTCGGCATGTCAATCACCGAGTCCTAGCCGCCGACACTTGTTCCTACTTGTTCCTCTGATATCAGCATGAATCACTTCTGAAAAGTTTTCCTGACACAAAGAGAAAAATGTTGACAGGAAAGGGAGCTTCAGCACACAGCCTGTGATTCCCTTAGCTCTGTTCCTGTGTGAAGGGGGGGTGTGCCCCTTCCCCTTAATCAGGTCTCCCCACTGAGCTCTGCAGTAATTTCAGCTCTCCACCCTCTGTTTCCTGAAATCTCAGACAAGATTTATAAATTCTCAACTTTGAATGGATGTAGAGAAGAGAATATAAACAGGTACAACTTGTGTAGGAGGATTTGTTTCCTCTTTGTGTATCACCTGAGGCCAGTTACTTACTGGTGTATGTAAGGGTTTACAACCACATTAAAGGCGAAGCTCACCTTTCCAAAAAGAAAATGTGCCTTTATTATCATTTTCCTGCAGGAGCCTGGTAAGCATTGCACCCGTGATCAGTGGATAAGGGGCTTCTGCACACAAGCCTGCAGCTTTCTACCTGCACCTCCATACAGGAAAGCTGCATTCAGACAGTGGCAGACGATACCTGCAGTTCATTCATTCACAGTAAACGATGAATGAATGACGTGGCTGTGTGAGTGGAGCCCGGCACACACACACACTCTTTTCAAAAAATGACAGCAGGTGCAGGGAGAAGATCCATGTCACACTAAGAGGGGAAATCAGAGAAATTTGCTGATGGAGCTGCAGGGGGCAGGGAGGCAGGGCAATGTTATAATCATGGGGACTTCAACTAGCCTGGTACATATTGGGCAGAGGGAACTGCACACTCAAAGAAGGCACGTCAATTTCATGTGTCACATGGTGGAAGCCCCAACTAGAAATAATGCTGTGCTCGACCTACTGACTACGAACAACACAGAGCTGATTGCAGATGTGGAAATAATTTAGGCTGCGTCACTCTGTTCTGGTTACAAGCCCGGTGTCACCCCGCCGCTGTTCCCATCCAGGTGTCACCCCACACCCGTTCACGGCCCATTGTCACCAAGCATCCTTTCATGGCCTCATGTCACCTCACATCCCTTCATGGCCCGGTGTCACCCCCACACCCGTTGACTGCCCCGTGTCACCTCACAGCCATTCAAGGCTTGGTGTCACCTCGCATTCCTTTATGGCCCGGTGTCACCTCACACCCGTTCACGGCTCGGTGTCACCTCGCATCCCTTCATGGCCCGATGTCACCTCACACCCGTTCACGGTTTGGTGTCACCTCGCATCCCTTCATGGCCCGGTGTCACCTCGCATCCCTTCATGGCCCGGTGTCACCTCGCATCCCTTCATGGCCTGGTGTCACCTCGCATCCTTTCATGGCCTGGTGTCTCCCCACACCCGTTGACTACCCCGTGTCACCTCACAGCCATTCACGGCTTGGTGTCACCTCGCATTCCTTCATGGCCCGGTGTCACCTCACACCCATTCATGGCCCGGTGTCACCTCACACCCATTCACGGCTCGGTGTCACCTTGCATCCCTTCATGGCCCGGTGTCACCTCACACCCGTTCACGGTTTGGTGTCACCTCGCATCCCTTCATGGCCTGGTGTCACCTCGCATCCCTTCATGGCTTGGTGTCACCTCGCATCCTTTCATGGCCTGGCGTCTCCCCACACCCGTTGACTACCCCGTATCACCTCACAGCCATTCACGGCTTGGTGTCACCTCGCATTCCTTCATGGCCCGGTGTCACCTCACACCCATTCACGGCCCGGTGTCACCTCGCATCCCTTCACGGCTCGGTGTCACCTCACATCCCTTCACGGCCCGGTGTCAACTTGCATCCCTTCATGGCCCGGTGTCACCTCGCATCCGTTCACGGTTTGGTGTCACCTTGCATACTTTCACGACCGGGTGTCACCCCTTCCCAGCTCTTTGCACCCCTTAAAACCATGGGGTCACCCTGCATTTGATCAGGTGTCACTGCCCCCTGTGACCCCGGTAGGTGACTCTGACCTTTCTCCCGTAGTACAGCGTGTAGCTCTCTCAGAACACTAAATGGCACCAGGGCCCCGGGCCCCTGACTCAGTATCTCCTCCGCTCTGCTCCTGGTACCCTCGGACAGGCCGCCTTTCTCTTCCTTCAAACTCCTCAGTAGAGGCTCCGTAGCCCGGCACTCGCTCGCCATGTCTTCCAATGAGCGCAGAGCGGAGGATTCTGGGAGGGAGGTCACATGACATGACCTGCAGGACGCATGCCGGAAGTCCGCTCAACCCGCTGCGTGTGACGTACGGCTCCTGCACCACCATGGCGGCATGTGCGGCTAGGCGCTGCTTGTCGGTGCTTGGTCGGTTCCGACAGGGAGGCCTGGCCAGCGGTGTCGGTTTCGAGTTCCGGCAGGCCCGGGCCGCTCTGCTGAGGCCTGTATGCGGCTGCCGCTTCCAGCTGGAGCGGGCACTTTCCTCCCGGTAACAGGACTTTGCGGGCGTGCATGTCTATGGGGAGTGTGTGGGGGAGCTCCATAGAGATCCATTGTCACCAGTCAGCTCGTCTGCAAATGATACAGCTCAGGATTTTATGTAACTTCTGCCTATTAGTGCTGTGTGCGGGCTTTCCTCTGGGGGGCGCTGTGCTCTCTGGACACACTTGCAGCCTGAGCTGTAAACATTGTTTATCTGCAGGCTGTGGCACCTTGAAGCTTGGCAGGATCACCTTGTGCTGACAGAACAGACCTGAAATAATCTGAGCTGCTTGGAAGGAAGCCAGGTGTGTGTGTGCGCAGAGTGATCCATCCATAGGGATCTGCTGTCCTCTCCTGCAGGGTGCATGTATGTCTGTGCATCTCACACACATGTAGATTGCTATGGCACACTGTACTATGTTGTACACCCATGGCGGGCTGTGTTACCCACACAGGAATGGTCAGGTGTTCCATGGATCCCTGTATAGACCGTCCCATTCATGTCAATTGGTATGCAGCAGCTGTGTCCCAATATGAGATCCATGTGGGTGTGTGTCACCGAGCGCAGACTGTCAGTACGGGGACACGCAGCCATACAGATGTCGTCATGGGACACAGCAGCTGTGTCCCATTATGAGATCCATGTGGGTGTGTGTCCCCAAATGCAGACACTGTCAGTACGGGGACACCCAGCCATACAGATGTCATCCTGGGACACAGCAGCTGTGTCCATGTAGCCACTGCATCCTAGTTGTCACGAATGGGACTGTCTGCACCAGCGTACACAGAACACGTGTAATCCCATGTGGTTAAACATGGCCCTGCATGAGCATACGGTATAGTACACCCTGTGTGCAAGGCCTTATTTTCATCTTTTTGGCTTTTCCATGTTGCTGATCTTCTGGCTTTTTCAACCACTTTGTCTGTGTGTACTCATTGCTACAGCAGCTACACATTATTGGGTCAGGTTCTAAGTAGTGCGCTGTGGTTTGGCAGCAGCAGGTGCAACGTCGGTTTTGGTGTGTTGTACTGGTGCGCTGCAGCTTGGCCGCAGTGTGGGTGTATGCGATTTTTTTTTTTTTTTTTTTTTTTTTTTTTTTTTTTTTTTTATGCATTTTAACCATGCTCCCATAGGCTTTGATTAGATTGTGTGTTTTTGCTACATTTTCTGAAAGCACACCAAAAGTCCTGCATGCTGTATCTTCAGTGCACTTTCAGAAAATGTGGCAAAATGCGCAACCTAATAGAAGTCAATGGGACTGAGGGTAAGAAAATGTAAATTAGTGAGCGCAATCCCAAAAGCGACCAATGCACTAAAAGGAACCACAAAAACCTTTCTAATAATATCACAAAAGCAAAGAGTGCAGCGCTATATAAAATTAAACCTTAATTGCAGAAAATTAAGAATGAGAATAAAATGAAATATAAATATAGAAATAAGTCCACTGTAGTATCGAAATCAGGATTCCTCAGTCCACAGTGAAAATTCTAGTGTTGTAGATGCCATCCGGTCTCCCGTTGTAGTAATATGAATAGATTGCCTACTCACCAGAAACCCAGTATAAAAACGCATATCTGGATCACATGCATCCTAGGATCTCGGATAAAGACAGCCCGGAAACGGAATCCTCTGATGGTCCCTCATTAGTGTAAGGAAAGGATACCGATCTGGTTTCAAAGTGCTTACTTCTTCAGGTCCGCAGCAATGCCTAAAACACTGGGGCTGAGGTGTGGAGGCTCAGTGCCAGATATGGAAAATAAAGGTGCTCATAGTGTAGTATTTTAAAACTAAATTTATTGCGTGTAGAATTAAAGCAATATTACATACATAAATGGCTGTATAGGTAAAAAACTGCTGCAAGCAGTAGTAAAAGCACCCCAAAATCACTGACCAGTGTACATCTAATGTGGGCCGCTGGACCTCCTGATCCGGCGGCGTGGCGTCAAAGCGTGCAGAGGCTCCTCCTACTGAGGGTAAGATGCATAAAAAATGTGGATGCACCCACTCTGCGGCCAAATCGCAGCACACCACTGTGACCCCAGTCTTACTCTGGAGAGGTTACCTTCTAATGACAAGGACGGATTGTACCAGCACACAGTGTGCTAGCAGGGCCACTTGTAGTCGCCATCAGGGGAGCACACGCTGGAGAACAATGGTCACCCCATGTCAAGAAGTGCCTGAACAATCTTCATGGCAGGATCCAAGCATTGTTTTAATAAAGGCTGCAGATTTAAAATAATAGTTTTTGAAAATTCATTAAAGGGCAAGTTCACCTTTCGTAACATGTTACAACATCCATATTTTATTTTTGTTATTTCAGGTACTTTTATAACGCCATCAATTTACACAGCACTTTACTCAAGGAGCGTATGATCTAAGGTCCCTAACTTGCCTTCCTACCTACACATACTAGGGCCAATTTAGACATGATCAAATTAACCTACCAGCATGTCTTTGGACTGTGGGAGGAAACCGGAGTACCTCGAGGAAACCCACACAGGGAGATTCAGGTGTAACACATGTTATGAATCGACTGGCCCATGATCCCTGTTGTGACAACTAGTGGGGCATCTTCTCCCTGTCGCTAGCTGTCACAATTTTAAGAAAACACGGCCATTAGGGGCCGCACTTGTGAATAAGAATACTACAGGTTCCAACAGCCTTTTCGGCTGTTGACTGGTAGTTCATGGAGTCTTCCTGTCAGTAGTATCTGCTTGCCCATAAGAAGTGTACAAGCACACAGACACAATGACACAATGACAGGTCTACAGGAGTCCTGCATGGCACCAGCGATCTGCTGATCGCTGGTGCAATGCTTTACAGACTCCAGAAACAAAAAATAATGCACATTTTTTTTACCTGCAAAAAAGTGCATTTATTATTTTTTGTTAAAACATGAACTTATCCTTTAAAGCCGAACTAAAGTTCTGATGTCACAAACTGCAGGTAGGCTCTTTTGCAGAAGATACACGCAACAGGGTTTATTTACTAAACCCGGAGACTGCAAAATCTGGTGCAGTTCTGCACAAAAACCAATCAGCTTCCAGGTTTTATTGTCAAAGCCTAATTGAACAAGCTGAAGTTACAAACTGATTGGCTAACATGCACAGCTGCACCAAATTGTGCACACTTTAGTTTTGGTAATTCAACCTCAATGTCTCTTCTGCAATTAAACACATCTACCTGCCCACTCACAGAGTTCTTTGGCATGTAAACTGAGCTACAGACACGCAGCTCAGCTTACTTCACAGGCATAGTTCCTATGTGCCAGGATGACTGACGCATGCACAGGAGTGATACCATGCTTCATCAGGCAATTAAGACAGACAAAGACCAGCACCCAGAAGAAGATGCCAGTAAAGGACAGGGACTTGGTGTTCTTAGTTGAGACAAGTACACACTATAGAGGGATATGCTTTGTTCATATTTCATATCTGAGGTTTACAACCACTTCAGTTGTTTACAAGCGTAACATTCAAGGTGTTTCTCTGGCGATAACTCTCACCTTTGGCAATGTGCTTATGTCAGCTCTCAACTAATTTTCTGAGTCCTCTTATAGCAGGGCTCAACACATCTCAGGCACCAGGTTGCAGTGGCAACTAGAAATTGCATCCTGGCTCCAGGGTTCACACACACACTGCCTCCCGTAGGCGTCTATGGGAAGTCGCGCCCGTAGGCGTCTATGCAAAAACTCCTGTCAATAGCAATCCTATGTGAACATTTATCTCTGCATGCCACTCTACTCTATAACTTGCGAGTCTGGAACGCACCGCCACAAGCTCAAACAGAACCCTTTTTTATAATGGCACTGAAAACACAATGCGTGTGGATCACATCTGTGTGAACCACCTCAATAGGAACACAAAATATCTAGCCTGTCATGCAAATTTGTGGGTTTCAAAACTAATCTAGAATCGCATATGTGTGAACCAGTTAGGTTCCATTCACACCTGGGTGTTTTAGGATTGCAGCAAGATTGCTGTGATTGCAAAACACTGGTTCAGGTGCCATTATTTTTAGTGGTTCGGTTTTGCCGTGATTGTTGTGTGGCAAGTCGCATTGCGTGAAGTCCCGGGCTCTGACAACTCACGCTATTAAAAAAAAAAAAACAAAAAAAAAACTGGCTTCTAGATTCAAAGAAAATTTGTCAAGCCCTGCCTTATAGTTTGTGTCATAGCAGATCACGTGCAGTAACATGGCAACTGCAGACATAAATAGAGGGTAAGATGAGGACCTTTCTCGGCTGTAAGGAATTGAAGGGTTTAGTTCTACTTTAAGCCCCAAAATATGCCTGTTCGTTAGGTACTTGGTAACATTGGTTTTGAACTTCCTATGTTTATTTGTAGCCTGCAGGCATTGTTTTCAGACTTGCTTTATCCATTTTAAATGTGGTTTTGGACTAAAATTGTCATTCATTCCAGGAATAGACCAGAGGGTAAAGTTTTGGAAACAGTAGGAGTTTTTGAAGTGCCAAAACAGCAGGGAAAATATGAAACAGGCCAGGTAAGTTGTTGTTTTTTTGTTTTTTTTTTTATATATTAACATCAAATATGACATTAAAGCTGTACATTGGATATAATTTATGTTTACACACACGGCTGTTTTTCTTTTAATGAGCAGGGGTCACCGTGGAGAAAAAATCACAGCCTGTAGTGCTGTGTGCCTATCAGAGGCAGCTTTTACACATTCACAGCTCAGCTAATAGATCACACAGTGCTGAGTGATCTTTCAGTTTTATGAAGCACAATCGGGCTGTGTCATAAATGGCACCAGTCTGACGCTGCTGATCATTTGTTGAGAAAACTAGCAGCTCACACTGTGCTTCAGTGTTGTGTATGTGAAAAAGCAGCTACTGATAGACCTACAGTGCTGCAGCTCTGAGTAATCTGTCATTATGATGAATGAATAATCAGTGCTGCTTTTTCATTCATATTGGTAAAAGATCACTCAACTACAGCTGTGTGCAATCTGTGGCTGCTTTTCCTTTATACAGGACACCGTCAGATACTTTACACTGAACTGCAGCTCTGAGTGATCTTTTACTATTCTGAATGAATAGGCAGTGGTGATTGCTCATTCATAATAGTGACATTACTCAGCTTAGAGAGGGAGCAGGGCTCTGTGCTGACTATACCGCCGAACCCCCCCCCCGAGGAACACCCATCATGTGGGCTTCAAAAGTAAGTGGAGCTACAACCAGAATATAGATGTGCATTTTGGGGACAACAGGGCCAGCAATCAGAACAGGACCAAGTACACTCAGTTCCCTGGGGGGTTAAAATTAATGATAGTCCTTCTTTAAGACATTAAGTGTACATAGAACAAATATTAAATACTTATTAGCCTCTTTGAAACCTCTGCACAGCAGCAGTACATACTGGAAAAAGGGAGATGAAATTGTCTCAGCCATTTGGGCCCAATGCTTTGCAGAAGTCTGTCACCCAACAGTATGAACTGTGTATAGGAAGAAGAAAGAAAAATGATGTCTGTGTACAGATTCTCATTGCTATTCCAGTAAAACGTTGAGGGTAGGCTTCCTTATTGTTGTGGTATTGCTTTACAGTAGTAATAAACATTTTTGTATGGTGTATGGATCACAAGTCTGGCTTTAGCAAACTAACAAATCTTTTTCTTCCACAAGTAAAACAGTTTATGTATTTGAATTGGGTGTGTAGCCACTTTCCTGCAGCTCAAGTATATTTAAAATTCTTGCAAGATCAACAGGTATTTGGTACTTGCAGAAAATATGCTTGGCCTCACTAAAGAGATCCTAATTCAGTCAGCACGTACAAAAATTGATTGCAGTATTCCACATTTTTGTTTTTGGGTATAGATTACTTGGCTTAAAAATAGCAGGGGAATTGGTGCAAAAAGCAGCTTCCTAAGGTGACTAATATGGAAGACATTTTCAATGGGGAAAACACAGTGACACTTTTCAAATTTAGCAAAGTTATCTGCAATATGTAATTGTTTTATTTTTACCTTTGCTTAAAATATGACAAAAAATGTATTTGTATAGTATAGCCAGAGCAACTCTGCAGATAGATAACATTTATTGAAATGTCTCCGGGGACAAAAACACCATTTTCAGTTTTAAACTTTTAAAGATAGACCTATTTGGGTCTCCAGGCTATGGCAGTGATTTACACATGGGGGGGGGGGGGAAAAATAATCAACCTTTATGTGACCACTCATTTACTCTGTAATTCACCATTGAGCAGGCCCAGACTGGGGAAGAAACCTAATCAAGTGACAGTCTTTGTATTACCTTGACTTGTTGAATACAGACTAAGCATGGCTCCCAGTGACTTCTAAAATAATAGATTTTTATACATTTAGTGATGATAAAGTATGACCTGGGCTGAAAGGAACCAACACATTCTCCAGAGAACCAGCACAGTAGAGTCTTATTATAACAGGGTATAATCCATGTCTGTCTACAACCACAAATCCCAAAAATAAACAGGCTAGTTCCTAGTTAATGATAGTGTGAAACCATGCAAATCATTCCTTTTGCATTTATTATAAATGCAGCTGTTTCTGTCTTGGGTCTCATTCACAAGTACTTCAATGTGTTTATGCCTCAACACCTACCATAAATATTACAGTGGCACCCACACAGTGCTGTTCATATGGTAAGGGTAGCATTGTGTTGTGTTTAAAATCAATCAGCTTTCATGAGACATTGATGCTTGGTAGCTGTCTCCATTGATTTCAGTGGTAATGCCCTGTAACAGCACCTATATCATCTATAGTGTCTTAGTGAAATATTTATAAAAAGATAGCTGGGCAGTGGGGGAGAGGCAATGGAGGCTTCTGTATTCCAGAATGCACTGGGAAATAGAGAACTAGGGCAGCCACTTCCTTTGTGGTAACACCATTTTGTTTTTGTGTTCAGCAAAAGCATCAAGCGAGCCAACAATACTGATACTGCCTAGAAGTAGAGACATTGAACATTATTGCCAGTGATCAAAGCCTTTTTTGTCACAAAAGTTGCGTTGGACCAAGCTAAATGTCAGAAAGATCCAAGTATATGAATTATCTTGCAGAGAATTAACAAAAATGCCTGCCATCTCACACCAACCTAACCACGCCTCAACGTAGATCATTTCCGCTACATTACTTACCCTTTAAGCTCTTCTCACTAGAAAAACAACACTTTCATGGGCATTTATCAAGCATTCTTGAAGCTTTTTCAGTGCTTTATAAGCTCAACAAAAACACGTCATATACGTATCAGAAATACTATAGACTTCATAAGCTGTTCATAATCAACACAGATGTGAACGATCCCTTGTTGACGATCTTTGCTGGTATTCACAGAAACCATGGCTTCTAAAGTAGATTGGGATTGAGTAACAGTGAGAAAATATAAACCGAGGCGATGTAAACAGTTTTTAGTAAAACCTGTAGAAAATGTTAAAGCCGAGAAACACCTCCTCCTAAAAAGGTAGAAATAAATATTGATTTGTGATTTCGTGTTTAATATTGGCTAAACTACTTTGAACTTATAAGTTTTTAAACATGGCATATATTTGTTGCAGCTTTTCCTTCACAGTGTCTTTGGATACAGAGGCATCGTTCTGTTTCCATGGCAAGCAAGACTTTACGATCGAGATGTTGCTTCTCCTGTTTCAGAAAAGTTAGTTTGGTATAAATATTTTGCAAAACTGAACTATATATCCAGTGATGTTTGGTCCTTCTGGACAGATGGTGCCTCTTAACTCTCAGCTATTTAAATATTTTGGTAGTTGATGTTTATTTGCTATTTTCCCACATGTACCTACTCCACTCATGTCCCAACCACTGTTGTAAAGGAGATAGGTACACATTGCTCAGAAAATTGTCTGTGCAGGTAAGGTCTGTGCAGCTTTGTACATTTTTCATTGTCATACCTGTAGGCCATATGGGTCCCCCTGAAAGCCTAGCTGAAAAACTTGCAGTTAGCAACACCCTTGTATAATTAAGTTTGTTTTGATTAATGAGACATTCTGGAGAATTAAAGTGGTAGTAAACCCCTGGACAAAAGACAAAACAATGGACCTGTCAGAACTTTAGCTCTTAATCAATTTATGAAAACCATCAGGGTTCTGGAATTATGGAGATTCCCTACTAATTTTCATGAATCAATTTATAATCCGATTTCTGCAGCTGACCAATCACATGCAGCGATGACAGTTCAGGCTAGACAGCAAGGAGAGGAAAGAAAGCGGCGGGGATTTGAAATCCCCCACAGCTTTTTCTTCTCATCCTACCACTGACACTTCGCATGGGATGACTGCAGGAAGATTCCCGCACTGCTCCTGTGTGAACTTGGGCTATGACAAGCCTGGGTTCACACAGGAGCAGTGGGGAAAGTGCATGTGATTTGGACAGGAATCTCATTCCTGCTCAAATCGCATGCTATTCTTTGCAGTGCAATTTGCGTCCATTAATGCAAATCGCACTGTAAAGTATCGGTTAAGGTGTCAGGAGTATTTTTTCCTAGTATGAGTACTCATGAAAATACTTGGTATCAACGCAGGGTGGATTTGATTTAAATCAAACTGATTTAAATCACTAGTCAGTAAGGCTTGATTTAAATCATAGTTTTCTGCATAAAGACTAATTCTTGCTGGTATAACTTAATATGCAAGTAGATGAAGATTTTTAGAATAACAACTTTTCATATTCGTTTTTTTTATCCCCAATTTAATAGGTTAAACATTCATATTTGGATAAACTTTTCTGTTGTACTTAGGAAGGAGAAAAATAATCATTACCTTCATAATAACAATTTAAATATTTATCCAACTGAAACAATAACATTACAGCATATGTTATTTGCTTAAACAAACATCCATGTTTGTTAACTAATTTGGCTAAACAAAATATATTTTTTAAGAAACTTAGACTGTCAGCCCCTTCCTCCTCACACTTAGTTTCACTTTCTTCTTGCGCAGATCTATTCCACTCCAAACAATCAGAAAAATATTGTTTCTATTCTATTCACTGAACTTCTTGAAACTTAGCACTGAAGGGGTTGATTCTGTATTCATAGGTTTGTAGAAGTTAGGATTAAGGTCTTTTTCTTAACTCTGTTCATGTTATAACATTTTTGCTGTGAAGAAGAGGCATGTGATCTCCGCTGAGTCAAATTCAGTTTTGAGAACTGCAAAAGTAAACCAAGCATCTGTGATAATATTCTCGTAGGCAGAGAAACTGCCCAATAATCTTACAAAAACCTCTGGAAGAGCATGACATTGTGAATGGATTAATGGAATTTATTTACCAAAAAAAATTAAACATATACAGCCTTATTCTACATAATTAAAAAACGAATCTTTATTTCATGATGGAATAACCTTTGGATGGTAATATATTTTCCTCAAAAAGCATTTTATTTAAAAAAATCCGATTTAAATAAAAAAAAAATCTGGGTTTTTTTTAAAAAAATCATTGATTTTTATCCACCCTGTATCGACGCATCCCTACTATCTATACATCTTACAGACATTTGTCATTTGTACTGAGATTTCTTAAATATCTAACTACTTCTGTACCATACAGACGTTGTAATATAATAAAATAAAAATAATTATTTATAATATTGAAAACATAATATCCATAATATATACCGTATTTGCCGGCGTATAAGACGACCCCCTACTTTTCCTGTTTAAAATATAGGGTTTGAGCTATACTCGCCGTATAAGACTACCCCTCTTCCAACGCACACCAAATAAAAATGAAAAAACATCAGATTTGATTTCAATATGGTATGGTATTTCAGTATGGTATTCCAATGATGGGGTGCTATTCCTCCCACTGACACCAATGATGGGGCATGATTCCTCCCACTGATACCAATGATGAGGCACTACTCCTCCCACTGACACTAATGGTGCCCCATCAGTAGTGTCAGTGTGTGAGGAATAGTGTCCCATCATTAGTGTCAGTGGATGAAATAGTGCCCCATCATTAGTGTCAGTGGGAGGAGTAGTGCCTCATCATGGGTATCAGTGGGAGGAATAGTGCCCCATCATTGGTGTCAGTGGGGGAGGAATAGTGCCCCATCATTGGTGTCAGTGGGAGGGGAGGAATAGTGCCCCATCGTTGGTGTCAGTGGGGAGGAGGAATAGTGCCCCATCGTTGGTGTCAGTGGGGAGGAGGAATAGTGCCCCATCGTTGGTGTCAGTGGGGAGGAGGAATAGTGCCCCATCGTTGGTGTCAGTGAGGAATAGTGGAGGAGGAATAGTGCCCCATCGTTGGTGTCAGTGGGGAAGAGGAATAGTGCCCCATCGTTGGTGTCGGTGGGGAGGAGGAATAGTGCCCCATCGTTGGTGTCGGTGGGGAGGAGGAATAGTGCCCCATCGTTGGTGTGTCGGTGGGGAGGAGGAATAGTGCCCCATCGTTGGTGTCGGTGGGGAGGAGGAATAGTGCCCCATCGTTGGTGTCGGTGGGGAGGAGGAATAGTGCCCCATCGTTGGTGTCGGTGGGGAGGAGGAATAGTGCCCCATCGTTGGTGTCGGTGGGGAGGAGGAATAGTGCCCCATCGTTGGTGTCGGTGGGGAGGAGGAATAGTGCCCCATCGTTGGTGTCGGTGGGGAGGAGGAATAGTGCCCCATCGTTGGTGTCGGTGGGGAGGAGGAATAGTGCCCCATCGTTGGTGTCGGTGGGGAGGAGGAATAGTGCCCCATCGTTGGTGTCAGTGGGGTGGGGAGGAGGAATAGTGCCCCATCGTTGGTGTCGGTGGGAGGAGGAAAATAGTGCCCCATCGTTGGTGTCGGTGGGGAGGAGGAATAGTGCCCCATCGTTGGTGTCGGTGGGGAGGAGGAATAGTGCCCCATCGTTGGTGTCGGTGGGGGGAGGAATAGTGCCCCATCGTTGGTGTCGGTGGGGAGGAGGAATAGTGCCCCATCGTTGGTGTCGGTGGGGAGGAGGAATAGTGCCCCATCGTTGGTTGGTGTCGGTGGGGAGGAGGAATAGTGCCCCATCGTTGGTGTCAGTGGGTGGGGAGGAGGAATAGTGGCCCCATCGTTGGTGTCGGTGGGGAGGAGGAATAGTGCCCCATCGTTGGTGTCGGTGGGGGAGGAGGAATAGTGCCCCATCGTTGGTGTCGGTGGGGGGAGGAATAGTGCCCCATCGTTGGTGTCGGTGGGGAGGAGGAATAGTGCCCCATCGTTGGTGTCGGTGGGGAGGAGGAATAGTGCCCCATCGTTGGTGTCGGTGGGAGGAGGAATAGTGCCCCATCGTTGGTGTCGGTGGGGAGGAGGAATAGTGCCCCATCGTTGGTGTCGGTGGGGAGGAGGAATAGTGCCCCATCGTTGGTGTCGGTGGGGAGGAGGAATAGTGCCCCATCGTTGGTGTCGGTGGGGAGGAGGAATAGTGGCCCATCGTTGGTGTCGTGGGGAGGAGGAATAGTGCCCCATCGTTGGTGTCGGTGGGGAGGAGGAATAGTGCCCCATCGTTGGTGTCGGTGGGGAGGAGGAATAGTGCCCCATCGTTGGTGTCGGTGGGGAGGAGGAATAGTGCCCCATCGTTGGTGTCGGTGGGGGAGGAGGAATAGTGCCCCATCGTTGGTGTCGGTGGGGGGGAGGAGGAATAGTGCCCCATCGTTGGTGTCGGTGGGGAGGGAGGAATAGGTGCCCCATCGTTGGTGTCGGTGGGGGAGGAGGAATAGTGCCCCATCGTTGGTGTCGGTGGGGAGGAGGAATAGTGCCCCATCGTTGGTGTCGGTGGGGAGGAGGAATAGTGCCCCATCGTTGGTGTCGGTGGGGGAGAGGAGCGGCTGCTCCTTCTTTCAGTTCGGCAGCTTGATTTTCGCGGGGGCCGTTCGGCTCCGCCTCCTCGCCGGTGATTGGTCGCCTGTGTGCGCATCGAGCGGGCCGAACTGAAAGAAGGAGCAGCCGCGCTTCCTGGACTGGATCATCGTGGGACCGGGACCGGAGCCAGGTAAGGTACAGCAGCCCCTCTGCCCACCCCTGTACTTAGGACACCGCCCCTGGAAAAAGTGCCGCCCTGACACCGGCTCGCCGTATACCGGCGTATAAGACGACCCCCGACTTTTCAGAAGATTTTCAGGGGTTGAAAAGTCGTCTTATACGCCGGCAAATACGGTACCAATATGTATTGTGAAAAACAATATAGATAAAATATATAAATATGGAAATTGAATATAGTAATATAAAATCCAAATTACTTAAAGGATAAGTTTACCTTTGGGAACATGTTATATGTTCCACCTGCTTTTAGAGTGGAACATGTAACATGTTCCCATAGCGGCTGCCGCTGTCCCCCCTCCCTCTGACCAATAGTAGGGGGAGACTTCTCCCTTTTTATTATGTCAGATTTGAAAGCAGCGGGGCACTGCACACACAGCTGCATCATTCATTCACGGACTTCCGTGAATTAATGAACTTGAAGACCCGACAGCCTTAGCGGCTGTCGGCTTGTAGTTTTCAATGAACTACCACGGTGTAATAGAAACAAGCACAGTTCTTCACCTGATTAGTAGAGGGAATACGCAGAGGCCTTCTCCTCCCTCCACTCCAAGCTGAGTAGGGGGTGGGGATGGGCAGGGAGATCAGAGCCTGAAGCTCCAACTCTTTCTGTTCCCTGTGCTATGTGTTCCCTATGCCTGTTGCAGCCACAGAACAGATGGTTCCTAATAAGGAACAGCATCTGCTCCATGTTCTAAGCTTAGAAGAGTTGTGCAAGCATTGTGATTAGAAATATCTTCTCTAATTATGTCACTATGTATCACTTCCTCTTTGTTCATATAAAAAGTAGTTGTCTTGCATTGGCAGGGCAGAGTCTTCAGCAGCTCATGGATCTAAAGAGGTTAAGGGCAAAACTCATACCTACTATCAAGTACTAATAGATGCCAGAGACTGCCCCCATATAGTAAGTATGATGTACTAGATTTGCTTGGGAAAAACAAAATCCAATTCCCAAGGAAAGTTGCTTTTCTATTTTCATTACATATGATTAATTGTGGGGCTTTACAAATGAGGACCTAGGCCCAGAACATGCCATCCTTGTGGTCTGGATTTTTTTTTTCTTCTATTTATACACATATTAGGTTACATTGTGGCTGATTGTTACAGATCCTCTCTGCTGCATGGGTTTCTTATCAAGGTTTTTTTTTTTTGCTTAACTTCCCTTTGTAACTCCATTTTTGGGACAGAAAATATAAAAAAAATAGAACGTATACAATTGCTAGCTACACGAACCATATTATACATGTTATTAAAAATGACCTCTACTTTTCAATCAGCAGTGCTGTAATTTTCTGTAGGAATGCCTTTTCCTCTTTGTGTCATTTGTTCACTGATTTTCCCAGAAGTTGGCACTAAGAGTTTTTGGTGAGGTACTCCCAAAGAGTTATCACTTCTAAAGGGATGCTGACCCTGCAGCTTTACATATTAGAACACTGCAAGCACATCAGCTGATTTATTGAAAAAGTCACTCCCATTCAGATTCATTTTGCACATTGACATGACCAAACAGCTTTTTCTTCAGCACACAAACCGGTAGGAATCAGTTTATTAAAATTCTTGTAATGTACATTTATCACCCAGAGTGGATTGGTTTTTTTGGGGGGGGGTTTTTTCCCTCAAAAGTGGAATTACTCTTTCAGGATACTGCATTTTTCACCTTCTACATCCTCTATGAAACTCAGACTCTGTAAAACCTGTTAACAGTTTTTACTGGCCTGTTATACTGCAGGTATAGCTAAATCATAATTTTGTTTGGTTAAATAAATAACGGAGTCATAATAAATGATAAAACTGACACATGTCTAATGTGTAAACATGCAGTCATATTGATCATCTGATCAGTTTATAGGACTTGTCAAATCGGTAAAGACAAATGAAATGAGATCTAATCAGATTGTTAACAAGAATAGGTGCAAATACAGAGCAAGCCCATATATTGGAGAATAATTGGTTGAGAAATTGAGGACCTAAAGAAAAAAGTGTTGTGTGCTGTCTCAGTATTATGACCGTGCAGGGTCATGTCAGTCTGCAATTTTGAAAATGTAATAACTTTACCAAATATATATACTGTGTGTGTACACAATTGGGATTTAAAGTATAACCAAACAAAAAATGGGGCTTTCTAATATAAATCGCAACTGTATTAAATAAAATGTAAACGGAAAGCTACCAACATATATACCCACATACAGATATTAATATTCTAAAATCATACATGTAAAGTGCTATCCTTAGTGCAATTTATGCACATGGTGTATTGTAGATTTAAAGGGACATTATCTATGTTTGAGAACTGAGAATAGTGCTTCACATGTATAGTTTTATATGATAAACTTATATGTCCTGACTCTGTACAGTGCTGTGGTAGAATGTACTATATAAAACTGTAAAAGCTGTTTTTATTTCTGGTTGTCATGGGCTGTCATGTTGCTCTTTGCACAATGGTTGGTAAGCCCTGGTGTTTTATAGGCATTGAAGATTCTGATTTTTGTTTTTCTGTTAGTCACAGAGGTCACAGACAGAAGCAGTGACGTTTCTTGCAAATCATGACGATAGCAGAGCTTTGTATGCAATTCCTGGTAAGTGAGGCTGCTGCTTTCTAGGTATTTGGTGGTAGCAATCCATGTAATAGTTGTCATAATGAACATCTGAAACAGGGTTTTGGTAACATTCTTAAAATTAGTTTACAGATATTTGTCACTTAGCCTAATTATGTATGTATTTTTTTTCCTATGTTCTAATTACATAAAGGATTAGATTATGTAAGTCATGAAGACATACTTCCATACAACTCTACTGATCAAGTACCCATACAGCACGAACTGTTTGAGAGATTCCTGAGTTATGATCAAACCAAAGGTAAAAAGCACCTATATTTCCCCTTATGCAGGGTAAAATGAAATTAAAGTTATCTGGTTTTAAGACTGTGTTTCACTCTTGCAGTGCCACCATTTGTAGCGCGGGAAACGTTGCGTGCTTGGCAGGAAAAGAATCATCCTTGGCTGGAGCTCTCAGATGTACACAGGGAGACAACTGAGCATATTCGGGTCACTGTGATCCCCTTCTACATGGGGATGAGGGTCCGTATTATGGGTTTTTATTCTGCTTTGGTGGGTTGGCTTGACTTTTTTTAAAAAAATTTTTTAAGATACCAGATACTTGGGTAAGAAGCCTTGAATAGAAGTTGCAATTTCTTGAACCCCTTAGCTACTTAAAGCAATAGTAAATTTATGTAATAACCTAATGTGCTAGTATGCATCGCACGAAAGACTTGCCTGTCACCGCTGACATGGCTTCCATCTTCACCAGGTCTTTTGCATTCTGGCCATCTGAATGGCCAGGCTGCGATGGCGTCACTCCAATGTTCGGCCGAGGCATAGAGCTCTGAAGGGACGGCATGAGTATGCCATTCCTTCAAAGTGCATGCGCTGGTAACGTCACCAGCTGCAGAAACACTGAATATCTACTAAACCGTGCACGTCCAGGAGATATTCTGTGTACCTTCAACAGGTTAGCTTTATTGTAAGCTTACCCGTAGGTACAAGTGTCCAAGCAGTGTTTACTACTACTTTAATACATTTTGGGGTAATCTCTAATTTTTTTTTTTTTTTTTTTTTCCCTGGTAACAATGGTACCAGTGAGGTCAAAATGGTAACTTATTTCTGAGGATAAATGCATGTATTTTGTTTGATTTCTTTTCAGACGTGTTGGATGTAGTAAACCTATTTTGCATTTGTTCACATTTGACTAATGACACATTGTGATAGAATTTCAGCTATGACTTTTGTTTTTGTAGAGAAGAGTCAAAGGATAAGTTCACTTCTTGTAACATGTTACACCCAATGTTCATACTGTGCCCCCCCCCCCCCCCCCCCCCCCCGCTCAATGCTACAATTTAAAAGAAATGTGGCTGAGCGGTATCATTCATTTACAGAGTTCTGTGAATGTGAAAACTACAAGTACCGTCAGCCTGTGCCTCTGTCGGCTTGTAGTTTTCATCTACCATGGCGCTGTTGAGCACTCTAGGTAGTTCATTGATTCTTACTGTCAGTGTGAAACTGCCTGCCCGTTCACCTGCAAAAAAAGTGCATTTACTTTTAACATGAACGTATCCTTTAAAACCACTGTCAGGTTTTATTAGTATTTGTGTTATTGCTTGGGATATTCTCTTTTAACTTTATTTTGTGGTAGCAATTGTCGCTATGGGGTTGATTTACTAAAACTGGAGAGTGCAAAGTGTGTGTGTGTGTGTGTGTGTGTGTGTGTGTGTGTGTGTAAAGCTTAATTGACCAAGCTGATTGGCTGCCATGCACAGCTGCACCAGATTTTGCACTCTCCAGTTTTAGTAAATAAACCCCTATGACAGGCGCTGGGGTGGAAATCCTAGTGTAGTTAATTGTTTTGAGCAGAAGTTGTGAGAAAATGTCTATATTTAGATGGGGGCTCCTGTACTGGGGACTCTCCCAATTTTGGGAGATGTATGCTCACTTCTAGCCATGTTTCCATGAGCTATTTTTTTTTTTTCTGCTGTAATTTTCTAAAAGGTATTTTATGACACAGTTATTTTATTCGTGCAGACATACATTTACAAATAGGTCTGCTTTCATCAGAGATTATCCTTTAAGAATGCAATCAAAGGTGATTATGGTATTACCTGTTTGTAATATAACATTTTCCTTCTCTCTTTCACTATAGGAAGCCCAAAACTCACATGTTTATTGGGTAATTATCTTTTTGATTTCAATGTTTTCTAGTACCATTCTAAAATTTAATGTTCTTTACATCCATTATAACCCATTCATGGATATCATTTTACATGTTTTATTTGTTACCAAGTCAATGGCCTTGAAAAATACAAGTAGTATAGCCAACTTTCACTGTTATGGGTCATTGCCTAACTAGGCACCTAAAGGGAAAAAAAAAACCCACTGGTAGCTCCCATTTAGTTCTATTCTTTCCATGAATTGACTTTTTGTTTCTGGGTATTTGTACTGATGATATCAATGACCTCTATAGTGCAATACTTTGTTGGTTCAGTTAGGATATTTTTAGTGTTACATTTTACTTTGTTTTACCCTTTTACAGTGGCGTTACTGCATCCGCCTTGAGAATCTTGGAGTAGAAGTTGTTCAGCTAAGAGAACGTCATTGGCGGATTTTCAGTCTCTCTGGAACTCTAGAAACTGTGAGAGGTCGAGGCGTTGTTGGCAGGGTAAGTTCTGTGTCCATTGTTCTTAACCCCTTTACACCCCTTCGTACACGGCATTTGTAAGCACGCGCCCTCCGCACTCCCAGCACGTCTCGACGCCCCACAGAAAGGCCCCGATCTCTTCTTGCGATCGGGACCTTTTCGGTCACATGACCCTAAACCCCACCCCGCCTCCTGGCCTCAGAAACCCTCTAAGGAGCTGGGAGGTCCACTGCCCCCTTCCTCTGATAGATAGTACTGGGAGAAGTTTCCCTGTACTATCTGTCAAATTTGAAAACAGCGCAGCTGTGCGGGGCTCCGCCCAAACGGCCGCGCCATTCATTCATGGACTTCTGTGAATTAATGAATTGCAAGTCCCAATAGACTTAGCGGCTGTGGGCTTGTAGTTTTCAGTGAACTACCATGGTGCTGTGGAGTGCCTTGGTAGTTCATTGAAGCTTCCTGTTTGAATATTTGCTTGCTTTTGCAATGATTTCCAGGCTCCTTTGGACAAAATAAGAAATGCACATTTTTTTTTTTACCTGCAAAAAAAAAGTGCATTTTATTGTTTTTGTCTAAAAGGCAAACTTATCTTTTTAAGGCCCTAGTCACACATGAGCATTTTGTAGCTTAAAGCTCCAAAATCTTTAACATCCAAAATCCCTTGGGTTTTCAATTGTGCTTGTTCACATCTGAACATAGTCATTTGAAGCTTGCATCTCAAAAATACAGAAACTTCTTGAAGCTACTTGTTTGTGTGTTAACCTTCAGTAAACTTCAGCGTGAGTGCCTAAAACGCACAATTTTCCTCTAGTAACTAGCTTTCTATCGGCAATTAAAGAAAAAAAAAACACAGCCGTTTTAAAAGCGTGGTTTCAGGAACAAGTTTAAAAAAGAAAGCGGTTCAAAAAAAGAATGTGGGTTGAGAAAAACATGAGGTAAAAAAGGTTAAAGAAAAGTGTGGTTCAGAAAAAAACATGGTTTGGGAAAAAATGTGGATCAAAAAGGAAATAAAATATGCTAGAGAAAAACAAATGGGAGATTGGATATAAAAATGGAGAGAGAGGAAAGGGTGTGGGAAAAGGTATTAAAAAAACAGGAAAGATGGTGGGAAAAAATTAAGGAATAAAAAGGGTAAAAAAAAAAAGAAGATTAAAGGGAAAAAAAAACAAGACACAAATAAAAGGTTGAAGCTGAAGTTTGGGTATTGCAATTTTGTACATGTTGGTCCAGCTTAAACCATTGCATGTACAGTTGCAATAAAACGTATGTGAACGCCTTGGGATTACGTGGAGTTTTGCATGAATTGGGCATAAAATGTGCTCTGAACGTCATCTAAGTCACAACAATAGAAGAACACAGTCTGCTGAACATAATACTACACAAACATTAGATGTTGCCATGGTTTAATTGCACACAACATGTAAACATTCACAGTGCAGGGAGGAAATGGTATGTGAGGCCCTAGCTTAATGACTTCTCCCAGAGCTAATTGGAGCCAGGAGTGAGCCAACCTTGACTCCAATCAGTGTGATGATATTGGATGTGTTGCTGACAGCTGTCCTGCCCTTAAAAAAACACACCACCTGTTTTGGGTTTACTGGTTTCAAGAAGCACTGTCTGATGTGAACCATGCCTCGAAGAAAAGAGCTTTCAGAAGACCTACGATCAAGAATTGTTGACTTGCGTGAAGCTGGAAAGGGTTACAAAAGTATCTCCAAAAGCCTTGATGTTCATGTGTCCACGGTAAGACAGACTGTCTACAAATGGAGAAAGTTTAGCACTGTTGCTACTCTCCCTAGGTGTGGTCTTCCTGTAAAAATGACTGCGAGAGCACAGTGCAGAATGCTGCATGAGGTAAAGAAGAATCACAGAGTGTCAGTTAAAGATCTACAGAAATCTCTGGCACATGCTAACATTTTTGTTGACACATCTACAATAAGGAAAACATTAAACAAGAATGGAGTACATGGGAGGATACCACGGAGGAAGCCATTGCTGTCCAAAAAGAATATTGCAGCACGTTATGAAGTTTGCAAAAGAGCACCTGGATGTTCCACAGCACTACTGGCAAAATTTTCTGTGGACAGATGAAACCAAGATTGAGTTGTTTGGGAAGAACACACAACGCTATGTGTGGAGAAAAAAAGGCACAGCACACCAACATCAAAACCTCATCCCCACTGTAAAACATGGCGGAGGGAGCATCATGATTTGGGGCTGCTTTGCTGCCTCAGGGCCTGGACAGATTTTTGTCATTGATGGGAAAATAATTCCAGAGTTTATCAAGACATTTTGCAGGAAAACGTTTGACCATCTGTCCGCCAACTGAAGCTCCGCAGAGGATGGGTGATGCAACAGGACAATGACCCAAAGCATACAATTAATTCAACAAAACAATGGCTGCAACAGCACAGAATACGCCTTCTGGAGTGGCCCAGTCAGAGTCCTGACCTCAACCCGATTGAAATGCTGTGGCATGACCTTAAGAGAGCGATTCACACCAGACATCCCAAGAATATTGCTACACTGAAACAGTTTTGTGAAGAGGAGTGGTCCAAAATTACTCCAGATCATTGTGCAGGTCTGATCTGCAACTATAGGAAACGTTTGGTTAAGGTTATTGCTGCCAAAGGAGGGTCAACCAGTTAATAAGTCCAAAGGGTCACATTTTTTCCTCCCTGCACTGTGAATGTTTACATGTTATGTGCAATTAAACCATGGCAACATCTAATGTTTGTGTAGTATTATGTTCAGCAGACTCTGTTCTTCTATTGTTGTGACTTAGATGACGTTCAGAGCACATTTTATGCCCAATTCATGCAAAACTCCATATAATCCCAAGGGGTTCACATACTTTTTCTTGCAACTGTATGTGTTATACCAGTGTGATCTCCTTGGAAGCTGTAGTAGGCACAACTGTTAAGTGATTTCCACTAGATTCTGGGTCCCCTGCTGAGTGGCTTCCCTGTTGTATTGTTAACACAGGAGGTCACCAGCTTGGAAACAGGTTCCATTCATAGAACACTTTGCATTTTCTCAATAAATGCAAAGTGTTCTCTGATCAGGTGAGGTGAAGATTGCGACATCACTGTCCCACCTCAATTTTGGTTTGTCCCCAGAACAATAAAACTCACTTAAATGTTGAAGCCTGGGTAGAGCACTAAGGTGCTCTGCATTTTTCGAGGTAGAAGCCCCTGTAGAACATATGCATTTAAATCCCAGAGATTCTTACCCTCTGACCTTCTTGCAATCAGACCTTGACCAAAACTTTGCCTTAAGGAATAGGTTTCAGCCTTGTCCATTCTTTTCTAAAAACGTCTGGCTTTTGCTTTCCTTTCCTTTTTGTGTAAAAAAAAAAACAAAAAACCAAAAAACAAAAAAAAAAAAAAAAAACTACTCCAAGGTATTTTTGAAGCAAATCGCCTTTACAGCACTCTTGAGACATTAATGTGGTTCTCTCTGTGCTGCAAAAACCACCATTTGATCCAATCCGGGAACTACCCTTGGATGATCTCTCCTGTGAGGTAACCTTCTTGGAGGCTATCATGTCTCTCAAAGAGGTCTCCAAGTTAGTGGCTCTCTTGTAAGGAGCCTCGTCCTCATTCTTCACAAAAAACGTTGTCTTGTGGCCAAGATCATCCTTTCCTCCTAAGGTGGTATCAGCCTTCCACCTCAGAGCATCAGAGTCTATCTCAAAGCTACAGCTTTTGTCAGGACTCACATTTTGTCTTACCCTCAGGACCTTGCAAGGGACATTCTGCTGCAGGATAAGACCACTAATCTCAAGCGTTTACACCCTAAAGAACAAAGCACCTCCTGCAGGAATATATGCTCACTGTACCAGATTGGTAGGCGTTTCCTAGCCATTTCAACACCTAGTCTCTATTGCCCAGCTTAGTAAGGCCACCACCTGCTCTTTTGTTAACTTTTCCAAGTTTATTTTGATTTTCCTGTAAATTCCATATCCTGGCGAACAGTAGAAGACACAAGACACCCTTCCCTCTGTTCCTGTGTTACTCTGCATTGTTTGGGAACTCGCACAGTGTGGTAGGGTTTTTTAAGAGGGGAGTCCCAGGGGATATGTCTTGAAAGCTTGGCCAGTATCTATAGACCCTGACTTATAGGCTGGTATCTTCAAATATCAAGCCTGTGTCCTGTACTGTACTCCAAGGTATAACATTTACAGGTAAGTCAAAATTCCTTTACTTGTTTCTCTTTTTTTTTTTTTTTTTTAGCTTTTCAACAGATTTATTTGCACACTTAAGGCTTCTTGCACAGAGGGTCATTTAGGAGCAGTGCATCCCTCCTGGTGTTTTAGTGTGCTTCAGAAGGACATTTGTGGCATCCAGCCCCAGGAACTCAGAAGACATGCTTTCTGTGCATTTGCCCCTAAAAAAACGGGTACTACTCAGTGCAGCATTCAGCTTCATCTAGCTGCAGGCTAGCATAGACTTTGACAGACTGCCTGGAGCAGGGCTGGACACTGCACCTGTCCTTCTTGGGTGCAGTAAAATGCCAGAAGGGGTGCAGCGCCTTGTGCAAGGGGCCCTAATGTAAAAGCATTAACAACTAACAGCATCTTAGGTGCCAATGCCTAGGTACTAGGATACCATCAGAAAATGTCAAGCCCATTACTTTCTAAGTGATTTTAGCTCAGAGGAAGCTCATGTACTTTTTCGGGCTAGAAGCTTCAAGCGACACCATGCTTAGGTTAAATGGGGAGTAACGTTTTTATGCCTACCTGCTCAAGAACATTCATAAAACCGTGCAGATATGTGTAACTTGTTTTGATATCATTGATTTTTTATATATAGTCTGGCTGTGTTTTGATGTATTTTAGGAGCCTGTTCTGTCTAAGGAGCAGCCAGCTTTTCAGTACAGTAGTCATGTGTCTCTACAGGCCTCCAGCGGCCATATGTGGTAAGTTACTTTACCGCTTATATGTAAACAGAAATATTACACATTAATTGTATGAATGTGGATAAACATGACCTACCAACTCCAGCTGAGGTTCTGTGGTCTGAAAATGGAGACTTATTTGGGTTGAAGGGTGTGAGGCCATCTTTGAAACCGCTTTTATATGTTAACCACTTTCCCGCCACCCTATAGCAGATACACTGTTACAGGACAGCAGCGGTGGGCAAAATCACACGTGTGTGTGTGTGTACACCCACACACTCGTGATTTTTCATTCATTTCTGGGTAGGGCACGCGGCCGCAGGTGTCCTGGTAAGTGTTTACCCCGCAGCCGCCAGATGATTGCCGAGCAAACTGTTGTCCTCCCTGTCATCTCTTGCACACTGTTTTGGATGGCTGTGCACAGCCATCCAAAGCAGTGTGCTTATAGTGAAGCACACTGACATGGCCCCCTAGTAAAAACACTCCCTGCACACAGTTAACCCTTTGATCGCCCCTCATGTTAACCTTTCCTGTCCAGTGATGGCTTTTTTTTTTGCTTTTTTTTTTTTTATATATAAATGGCACTGATCACTATATGGGTATCAATGACACCAAGTCAGTTTCCCCCAGTGTCAGAATGTCCCTCGTAGTCCCGCTATAAGTCGCTGATTGCCGCCATTCCTAGCTACAAAACAAAAAATTCCTCTATCTACACCACTATTTGTAAACGCCATAACTTTCACGTAAACAAATTAATTTACACGTATTGGGTTTTTTTTTTTTTTTTTTAGCAAAGACTTAGCAGAATACATTTAGGCCTAAATTTATGACGAAATTTTTTTTTTTTTTTTTTAAATTTTACTGGACATGTTTAATAGCAAAAAGGCAAAAATATTTTTTCTCAAAATTGTCATTCTTGTTATTTGTTTTTATAGCACAAAAAATAAAAAATGCACAAGTGATCAAATACCACCCAAAAGCTCAATTCGTGGGGAAAAAAGGACGTAAATTTCATTTGGGTGCAGCATTGCTTGACTGCTCAATCATCAGTTAAAATAATGCAAAAAATGGCAGGGTCAGGAAGGGGGTAAATCCTCAGGAGGGCAAGTAGTTAAAGGAGACTGTATTGTGTGTATCCAAGTTATAACTTTCGGACCATAATCATTGTGGTCACAAAATACCCCCATTATGAATGGGTTAAGAACATTTAGGTTTTAGTTCATTATTATATTTTATAATACAGGTAAACCAAAGTCTCAAAAAGGTTTAGTGGTCTAGCTAAGGAAGTCGGCTAGTTTTGCCTATACAGATATTCGTGAACAAAGGGGCCAGTGGTGTAACTTTTTGTATAGTAAGCACAGCAGCAACTTTTTTTTCAGTAAATAACAGAAACCTGTGCTTTGACAAATGTGGGCTGCCATTGCTTATTTTCACCTAACTCCTGCTGATCTTTTGGCTTTATTACTTTAAATCTCCAACTAGAACAAGTATGTAAACCAGGCATCATGACTTAGGGCTGGTTAATACCATGAATTGCACAAGAACTCCCTGTGCATTACTGTGTGATTCACTTGCGATCTGGATGCAGTGAAATTTTTATCCTATTCATTTGAAGGAGCTCAAATTACGCTGAATTGCACCAAAGTAGTGCATGCACTACAGGTACAAGATTGCTTGGTACTACCTTGCTCTGTGATCCAGTGCAGGCAAACACTGTTTGCGACCTGCGTTTGGAGTGTCATTAAGTTAACATTGACACTGGTTGCAGATGGCAACTGCAATGAGTTTGGAAACTCGCACAGAAACCAGGCTTTCCTGCACCGCGTTCTGGCCCTTATCTAGCAACAGTAGTGCTTTGGGTCATTAAAGCAGTAGTACACAAATTAAATTGTAGTTTTGTGCAGCGTACCAATCAAATGACTGAAAGAAAATTTCCCCCCCCCCCCCCCCACTCTGAACGGATGAGCACCGGTCAGTTGGGGGAAGAGGGTAGTGAACTAGCAGGTTTAGATGGACTTGACTACATATTAAAGCTAAACTCTAGCTAACACTGGGATAGAGGATAAAAAAAATAAGACCTTACCTTTTTGGCAGGTGAAAATAAAGGGAATAAATGCTGAAAAAAAACTAATGCAGTCACCACATCTAAGGATTGGTAAGCTGCAATACATCATTTTTTTTTTGGGTTTAATATCGACTTAAGTAAGATAGTATCGTAGCCAGAGGATCAAAGTGATGGACAGATATCTAGCATTGTCTTCATGGCCCGCCCTACATTAGCACAGCTTTGCTTTGTAAATAATTGTGTGCTTGCTCAATCACATGTGTTTTTTTTTTTTTTTTTTTTTTTTTTTTTTTTTTTTTTTCAGGGGAACCTTCCGCTTTGAGCGACCTGATGGATCACACTTTGATGTCAGGATTCCTCCTTTCTCTCTGGAGAGTAACAAGGATGAAAAGACGCCCCCATCTGGTCTTCATTGGTAGTGATGTTGCACAGCCTTGACAGAAAAGCACTTTGTTGAACTGTTCCTATCAGACTGTTGTGTCTCAGACTATAAACCAGAAGCTATTTGTCAAAACCCTATCCTCAGATATCCCTTTTTGTTTAGTTTGAGGCAAGGATGTGTGTTCCTTCCCCTCCTGAACACTGAAGTTGCTGCTTTATATTTAATTTCCTACACTGCAGGTATTGTCATGATCACACATCCTGAAACATCAGAGCCTTTTGGGAAATAGTTTTCTTTTAAGGATTTTCTTTTTTTTTTATGTTTTGTTTTGTTTTGTTTTGTTTTTTTGAATAAAGCAATACATTTCTTGATGTGACTGTGTTGTAACTTCCTTACAGAGTGTAGCATTTGATAGTCACTGCATCTTGTAAAATAACGGATACCATTCAGTACCTTTTTTATGCAGCATATGGGTGCACCTACTTTTCTGCTGTGCCAGGTTCCCTTAACATTTCCCTGTCAAGGATTTGTACTACATGTCGAGGCAGTCAAAAGGTTGGAAATGGCACCCACAAGCTTGTTTTGAAATAAAACAGACAGCTTTTCTTCTTTACGGCAGTCTGGCTATAAAGCAGGCCTTAGTTAGTGGCCTGATCACCAGAAGAAAATAAAAGAATGAACGCCTAAAAAGGAAAACTCATGCAGCCACCACATCTAAGAATTGCTAAGCAACACTATAATAACCTTTTGCTTATGTGTTCAAAGCCAATTTAATTTAAAGCCGAACGCTATCTTTCCTTCCACTTTAGTTTGGAAGAAGTTGACCCGGATGAAATATTTCTTTTTGCTAGTTGCTGCGCCCTCTGCCAGCACTGTATAAGCTGCATATAGGATCAGCTGTATACAATATGCAGCACTATGTTCTGTCAGTGATAAAAGGAATCCCTGTCTGCTACCAGATCAAAATTGAGTCAGGCTGAGTGCTTCTCAGCCACTCAGAAGAAGCCTTGTATTTTTTTATTAATTCAAAGATTCCTCTGATTGGCTGTGGTGAAGCAGGTGGATGACTTCCTAATTTCCACCTCAATCATTCAAAAGAAACCTTGCATTCATTGATGAAAATACAAAGCTTCCTGTGGATGACTGAGAAACACTCAGCCTGACTTGATTTTTTTTTTTTTTTTTTTTTTTTTTTCTGGCAGCAGATGGAAAGTTCCCGTAACGAAACACAACGATGCATGCAGCTGATATTACAAACTGTGTTGACAGCAGCTGCAGCTGATTTGTAAAGGGAATAGTTTGTTTGGAACAGCTATGCCAAAAAAAAACTATTTAAAGTAAAAGAAAAGATGGAATTAGGCTTTAAATAGAACAGTTTAAATTGGAACACAAGTACAAATTAAATTATGTGGCATTAAATGTTTATGCCACCTCTCTAAATCTGCAGTGTCTAATTGGTCATCAAGGGCAATATTTGATTAGCTGGTTTTAGAGGGATGTCTGATGGTTTGTTACACAGCTCTGCATTTGCCTAATATATCCAGCAAAGCATAAGTGTAAATTCCAGCAAGTTTATTTTCCACAGGGATAAATGGTACTGTGTATTAAATATCACCATGACCAATGAAAACCACAGAAGTTTGAACGTGCCCTAATGGTGAAATAAATAGGAAGCAGTTTTATAGCTCTTTCCAAACCCACCCACTGGTTAGACATGTCTTAGTGGGTGCACAGCATGTTCCATTCATGTGCTACCATGCAGACAGAAAGTAGGCCCAACAGTTCAAACAATTCAATAATCCTTATTTGAAATTGTTGAAACTTGCATAAACAAACATGTTTTAAGTTCTGAACAGAGTAAAGAAAATCAAAAACTAGGGAAAAAAACCCCTAAGGCTTTGATCTTTGATCTTGCCAGTGTGCAGAGATGTCAGTTTTTCTGCATGCGCTATACAAGGGCACAAAGAAATCACTCGTTCTCTATGTGCAGATTTTTTTTTTTTTTTCTGCACAGGAATTTGCAATGTGTATAAAAAACTCATTGGAGCGTGCATGTAAACTTCTATCTCTTTAGGTGAAATCTGCTGGTCAGTTTTTTTGCATGTATGGTGTGAACGAGGCCTAAATATCCTCTAACAGTTAAAACATTAACAGCAATCATATTAGATGCCTTTTGGTTCCATGTATGACTGTGGACTATGCTTAAAGGAAGGCAGTGGGGTTAATTCAAGAAACAAACTGTTCATGTAATACACTTAACCTGCCAGCCATGCCTATTGCCTTTTAATAAGTTACTGATTCTATGCTAGTGTAGTTATCCACAGCATAGGGACTAATTGACTTGTATTCCAAGATAAGACTAGGGCAGATTAAGTACTCCCTTTTTGAGGTAACACGTAGCAGGCACGGGACAGTTCTAGAGCATCCACTGTGAGTTCTCGGGGGTCTATGGTCCTGAATACAAATTTTTCAGCTTTGCATTGTATCTGCATAGCAGAAGATCCACATTTGGAGTTCCCCACTGAGTGAAGAGTCCACTCCCCTGGAGTCAATCATTAATGGCTGAGAGAATCTGCCTAACAATCTTCCATGCTGTGAATGTGGAAGGCAGACAGGGCAGGAACATAAAGCTCTGCCTAAGACAGAAGGAAATCTGTTTCCTCCTGAGCATCTTGCCTTCTGGTGCCTCCCTGATAGTGTGTATATACGCCACCATCATGGTGGTTTCCAAATTAACCTATACAGGGAAGCCCTTCAGCTGTACTAAACAATGTAGCAAGTCCAAATGTTCCCCAATTCCAAGATGTTGATAGGCAAACAACCTCTCCTGCATTGACCATGCCCCCTGGAATGAGAGATTGTTCAGAACCCCACTCCAGCTCCTCAAGCTAGTATTCATTGTTGGGACTAGGCCAGGACAGAGAGAAACCGGTTTTCCCACTTCCAGTATGCTTAAAGAAATCCACCAATCCAGTGACAGTCTCCATCTAGGGTGTAAATGCATCAGGAGTCCAGCAATTGTGTCCTCTTGTCCCATGTTGAAAGACCTTAAGTTTGAAGGGGCCTTGAATAAAACTAGGGAAAAGGAACTCTCAAAAAAGGCTACTATCTTTCCCAGAACCCTCATGCAAAGACAGATTAAGGGGTCCAGGAGTTCAAAACAACTTACCTTAGATCCCAGAGTAAGACATTTGTCCAGGGGTAGGACAGCTCTTGATTGAACTGTCTAAACTCAGACCTTAATATTCCCACCTCTGGTTTTGGACTAAGGTTGTCTCTTTTTTTTTTTTTTTTTTTTTTTTTTTTTTTTAAAGTTCAGGACCCATCCAAACCTCTCCATAGTTTGCAAAGTTTGATTCACATTGAGCTTTAGGAGTGGAGCAGAACTCTTCCTCAGAAGCAAGTCATCCAGGTACCTCATCATTGCGAGGAGGGCTTTTCTCCCTCCTCAGAGGGATTTGAACTCCATATCTTATTGTGGAACTGGGATTGGGGCTTGGGCTTAGAGAAAGGAATGCTTTTTGGAAGCAGAGGGAATGGCTGGTTTTTGTACCACAGGCTTGAAATGTTTGAGCAGCAACAGGTTACTCTTTCCTACAGCTACCTTTTTGGACGTAATCATCCAGAGCAGGTCCAAACAAACCTTCTCCTTAAAAAGGTAAGTGCCAAACCTGCTTCTTACAATGCAGCTCAGCTGATCAACATTTCTGCTAGAAGATCTTGTACATGTGCACCAACAAGATGCCCAAATGAGAAAGTTGGGAGTCCTTTAAGGCATCCATTGAAAAAGTAATGGCATGGGGAAAATCCTTCGGGTCTCTGCCTGACTCTGAATTCCCACTGTCATCCCAGGAGCCCAGAGCATGAGGCTTTGACGCACGCCTATAACTGCAATAGGTTGCAAGACGTCAGTCCAAAGCAGCCTTAAATACTGGGATTTGCCAAGAATACTGTATTCCCCTCCTCTGAAAATTCTGCATCCCCTTCCTCGGCTGGCTTCTCTGTCAACAAGCAGGGGGAGGGGAACATTTCAACTTATGACAAAGATGGTCCAAGCTAACTAGAAATCTGGAGAACTGATGTTGGTGACCCCAATAACAAATGAGAATTCCTCCCTTGACACAAAGGAACTGGGGGAAGATATCCCAGAGATAGTGCAAACACCAGACAGGTGAAGATAATCAGAGCTGCATGGAACTAACTGACCCAGAGAGAATACGTGTGCCGATTTTGGTTACACATAGAAAAAAAAAAAAAAAGGGGCAGAGGAAGCGCTCTACCTCCCAAAGGCACCAAAAGCCTCCTGGACTGCCCCTAACACATCTACTGCCTTGTAGCGCATGGGCTTGCCAGGGAGGAATAAAGGGGGGCACCCATAACAATAAAGAAAAGAGCCCAAAGCATGTAGCGAAGGCCTGGTTCACACCAATGCAGTGTGTGGTTTGCCTGTTTTGCAGTGCGTTTTGCCACATGCATTTTTACCACATTTTGCTTTCTTTGTTAAAGGGGAAATGTTTTTGTTGAGCAGAATAAAAACGCAAAATCAGACGAAAACGCACTACATGCATTTCAGCAACATCTCCATTGAACTCTATTGTAGCCAAAATGCTGCTTTTTGTGTTTTAAAAAAGTTCTTCACCCTTTCCAAAAACACAGAAGCTCAAAAAAGCATAAATGTGAACATGTCCCATAGGGAATCATGTTATGAATGGACTGTAGGGAGGGGGCACTGACACTACATGCTGTAGAGGGGAGGGGGGTTCCCTCTGTATCAAGTATGGGGGTCCAGTAGCATTCCTCTTATGGACAATAATGGATATGAAGATACCCTGAATCCTGGGATGTACAATAAAGAAATAAAAACTTTCAATGCTTATTCACGATACTTTAACTCCTTTGTGAACCAGTAACAAACACATGCTGTGTCCATGAAGGGGGCTTTATACCTGGGCGCCACACATATGTGTTTGTGTTTGCACTGGGAGCGTGCTTAATAGCATGATCCCAGCACAGAGACTGGGCTCTCACCAAGCATTT